GGGGGGGTGATGTCATTTTGGGGTGTCCATTCTACACGGGTGATGCATTATGGGATGATGCTTTAAGGGGTTGATGCCATTTCAGGGTTAAGGCCTATGGGAGTGATGCCATAGGGGAGTGATTCTCTATGGGGACATTGCTCTGTGGGGTGATGCCCTGTGGGGTAACCTCAAGCAGAGGCACTGCAGAAGCTCTGGGGCACTGGGTCCTGCTGGGGGGGAACAGGACCCCAGCTCTGGGGCAGGGCAGACACTGCCATCTTGGGACACTGGTGTTTGTGTGAGTGTGTCCTGCACGGGGGCACGGAGACAATGATCCAGCCCTGCTGAGTGCTCGCATCCCTGCGGGAAAGGGGCCACAGCCACTCTGTCCCTGTGAATGGCTGCACTGGGGCCGTGCACATGAGTGACACGTGGGACTGGGCTGGGGACGGGTGGGAATGGTGAAAATGAAGTACCTAAACTAAATGAAAATATAATATAACATAACAATAATATTAAATACTAAATACAAAAATATAAATATAGATATGAAATATACAAAAAAATATAAAGCATGAATTATAAAATAAAACAGGGAGTGTTAACTCCCTGTTCACACCCAGGCAGAGAAAGGGATGAGAGGGATGGCACAGGGACAGCTCTGGTTTCTAGGACCTAAGGGCCCATTTGGGCACTGGCTGAGGACACTCAGTAGTTGTGTCCTGCCACCATCCCCAGAGAGCCAGGACCTGTCACTCCACAAGAGTTTAGTCATTTAACCAAGTTTTTGAGAGGTATTTTCACCTTCCCCCTGATTCCTGTGGATATCTGGGTATGTGCTTCCCTGCTGCTCTGAGGTTTGGATCTGCAAATGCACAGAGAGCTGAAACCACAGCTAAGGTCTAGGGAGAGATGGAATAGATAGATTAAGGGGTATGTTTTGGTTTAGGCATTGATGACATGGGTTCTATAGATCCAGAGATCATACAGACAAATTAGAGATGAAGTTGATATGGATATGATAGAGATAGATACAAATTATAGATTATATAAATATATATCAATAATATAGACAGTGATAAAGATTATATAGATTAGATATAGAATATATAAATGGCATACAGGTATATGTATAGATACAGATTATGGAGATATAGATAATGTAGATATGGATGATATAGATACAGAAATAGATAAAGTAGATTTGGATATAAATACGACATATAGATATATGGAGATAGATAGATAGATAGATAGTTAGATAGATAGATAGACAGATAGATAGATATCCATATAGATATAGATGCAGATAGATACAAATACATATATATAGATATAGATATAGATAGATACAGATACAGATACAGATACAGATATGGAAGGACAGTATCAGAGGCCCAGAAGAGGGAATCCCACATCTCCTTCCAGACTAAGGGATTTAAGGGCCCAACGAGTAGGTATCCAGGTGATAAAATTTAATGCTGAATTAAGGAATGAAAAAGTATTTAGGCTCCATCCTACATATTAGTGGGACGTCCCAGTATCCATTTTAATGCCAGAATTCACTTGGATACCAGGATCCAATATCCATGTCCCAGAATCCACTTGGATTTGCAAATGTGCCCAAAACTGTGCTGAGCTGTCCCTTTGTCACTTCTGTTGTGAGCTGCCCGTTCTCCCAGGTGCAGCCAGGGGCTCACATATTGATGCAAAAGCCAATATTTGGGGGGGGAAAAAAAGATCATATCTGTAAGAATTTCCTGCTTTAATGGGAAATAAGTCCAAGTGCTAATTAATTATCCCATGCTGCCATGAGCTTGTAGAGCCAAAGTGCCATTCTTGTCTGCTACAAAGAGTTGGGACTGTGAGGTTGCTCATATAAATCACTTTTGGGGTTTTACCTGAGCTGACACCCATTCCCAGATAAAGACACACCCAAAAAAAGTGAATTCTGAGCTGTGCTGAATAATGCTCTCATTTTTCATGCTGTCAGCTCTTTTCTCCACAACCACTCAGCTCCAAATCCACAAATCAAACTGCCAAAAGCTTTTTCCAGTCTCCTCCCTCAGGACGGCCTGAGGGCATCTAGCCCATGTATCATTTTTTACAAGCCTGATTAGGTGATTCTCAGTAAAAAGGTGTTTTACCCAAGGACATTTGTTTGTCTCCAGCCCTTTTTCATAATCAGTGGGGAAAGCGACACCTTTTTACCTGCAGTGAGCAGGGAGCCCCATTTCTCTGTGGCCAGTGTTCCAAAAAAAGGAGGTTTTTTCCAGCCTTTATGGTTAAGGAAGCACCTGGCCCTGATGGGTCCTAGGGACCCCGCGTGCTGTTGGCTCCTGCAGGTGGGGAGGGACATGTCCCCCTCCACAGGGGTGTCATGCTGTGGGATGAGCCCCCTGGGTGTTTTTGGGGATGCTGGTGGGGTTCAGCTGTGCCAGAGGAGGTGACACACAGTTGCTCTGGGCTCCTGCAGGCATCCAGTGACTGCGGGTCCGGCAGCTCCTCCTGCAGCCCCGAGTGGAGCAGCCAGCTGGAGTTCGGCACCAACCCTGCAGGTAACGCCCTCCTCACCTCCCTGGGGCATCCCACGGCCTAGCTGGGCTCTGCAGGGAGTGGGAACAGCAGGGACACTGCAGGCCTGGAGCAGAGCATCACTGAGCCAACCCCCTCCCCAGGCAGGAGACTCGTGGAGCAAAGGGCAGAAGGAACCTTGACCTTCTCTCCCCGTCCCACTGCTGCAGAGTGATGAGCTCAGAAATCCTGCAGAACCTCCTTGGTTCAATTCTCAGTAATTCAGGGTTCTCCGAGCCCTGATTTCACCAAAACACCAACCCCTGGGAGCTGAGAAATTGGGCTGCAGCAGCCTGGGGCCCTGGTGCCTTCATCCCCAGCAGGGGTTTCATCTGTTGCCATCCCTGGCTTGGCATGCTTGGCAGGGCATCACTGGGCACGGCTGGGCATAGCTGAGCATGGCTGGCCAGCTCTGCCCCAGCCCCCCTTCCCTCCCTACACCCCCTTGGCAGCTGCTGATCTTTTTTTCCATGCTTGCCATTATCCCTGCCCCTGCCAAATCCACCTGTTATTTTCCCCAGAAGGCAGAAACTTAAATCTCATTTTCCAGTGGAGATTAAAACCTATAAAGGATCCCAAAGTCCCACCCCCTGTTGCTCTCCCATCCTTCCCCAGGGTGGGGGCTGGCAGCAGGTCCCTAGGTCCCTCTGGCCCTGTGGAGGATCATGGGGTCATAGAATCATAGAAAAGAATCAATGAATTGTTACAGATGCAAAAGATCATCAAGTCCAACCCTCAGCCATGTTCACCACTAACCTACATCCCCTTGAGCAGAACCTGGAGCCATCTCCAGCACACAGTCCCCCTTCCCAGCAGTGTCCTCATACCTTGCTCCCACAGATCCCATTCCCAGCAGCATCCTCACCCCTCTGTCTCCCCAGATCACCTCCTGGCTGACGAGGCAGCCGAGGAGCGCAATCTGCACTCGCTGTCCTCCATCGTGGAGAGCATTGCTGTGGAGGACGTGGCTGTGACGTTCCCAGAGGAGCGGGGTCAAAACTGAGCTGGTGCAAACCCCGGCGGCTCCAAGAAATGGTAATGGGGTGGGAATGAGATGCCAGAAGGGTCCAGCCGCTGGAAATCACACCCACCCCTCCAGTGCTGCGGGCTGCACGGCTGACACCACTCGGCTCCCTTCCCACTCCTTGGAGCGCTCCTGCCGGGCTGCAAGAAGAACAGGCAGAGGTGGGATGGGGCAGCGGCCGCAGGTCCTGGAGGGGCTTCCCAGGGCCAGGCCCTGCTCCGCTGCCCAGCCAGGGCCGGGCGGGTTTAGGGCCAATGTGTGTGCTGGGTTCGCTTTGCTGAGTTTTCCAGATGCTCCTTGACCAAGGTCCGGTGGTGCTGACCCGGAGCCCACCTGTCTTTTCTACTGAACGCTGTGTGCAGTTGCCATTTAGGGTTTTTTTAATTATTATTTTTGCTAACTTATTTGGATTCTTTTTTAAATAAAGGCATTCTTGTTTGGACAGCTTGGGGTTTCCTTTACTGTTTTCCTGCCCTATGCAGGTCTCCCCAGTTACACAATCCCCAAATCCAGGTTGGAGATTTTCATATCAGTAAATCCAGCTGGACCTCAGTCCATTCACTCAGCTGGGAATTGGATGTGCCACACTTCAATTAGCCCCACATGGACCAGTGATTTCACTGGTGTTTAACTGGGGTTCAGCCTTGCACCCCAAAGATCTTTAGGGAGCTAGAGATTAATGATATTTTTAATTTGGGCTCTATAAAGGAGGCTCAAAGCCAGCACTGTTTTAAAATCCTGTTTATTGGAACACACATACATCCTTTCCTGACCCGATCCAGGGTTTGGAGTCCATGCAGTACCAGTACTATGACGAAAGAAATAGGGCATCAATATAAAGGGCTCACTGACTCTTCAAATTAAAAAAATATTTAGTACTGTATTAGGCAAATGATACACCGAAAAGACGTTGTGACTGTAAAGTCTCTCAGATATTGCACTTCCAGACAGCACATGATAAGTATAAGGTCATTCCAGCCATCAATAAATATCACATCAGAAATAGGGGCCACACAAGGCAAACGTGGCATGAGGAGACAAAGAGATCCTACCCTATGGAAGAAATGGGAAGAGTTAAGAGCCTCCTGGATTGACCCCTGCCAGGAGGCAGGAGGGGAGAGCATCTCCTCTGCAACCAGAGGGGAAGGGTGGGCACATCCCAGGCGTGGAGGGGGCTCCCGTTGTCTCCCTGGGCACCCAAGGAGGGTCCCCTCTCCTGTGGATGCTGGACACCGTCCCCATGAGCCATGTGGGGCGGTCCCAGGCACAGCCCCCCTGAACAGGGCACCTGACAGCACCAAAATCAGCACCTTGCCCACCCAGCCCTGGGCAGACACTGCCCTCCTGGCCTCACACTGGGCCCCCTTCATCCCACCCAGCACCAGCCCTGGCACTGCCCCAGCCCCCCTAAGGGCAGCTCCTTGCCCGGCCACCCTGGAGGCAGGATTTTCACGAGCCTGAATCTTCCTTGGCTTCAAGTCCTGTGGGCAGCAGCATCCCTGATGCCCCGGGCTCAGGCAAGTGAGTGCAGCCCCGTGGCAGATTGGCAACATGAACCAGGCAGGAGAGAGGTTTCCAAACACCGCAGACACTTTGGGGGTGTCTGTGCTGCTCCCCAAATTGCACCATGCCAGGATGGCATCTGGAGCACATCCATGGCCCAGCCAGCGCAGGAGAAGTGGGGGACAGGCCATAGTGGGAGCCACGGGAGCCGGGGGAAGCAGGGGGTGCATGAGCAGGAGGGACAGATCTTGTCGGTCCACAGCAGTGACAGTCTGTGAGTCGGGGCCGAGGAACAGGCACAGGCTGGGCTCTCGTCCTGGAAGGCAGCCAGCACATGGCGTACAGACATGGAGGTTTGCTGAGGAGCAAAGTGGGAAAGGCTCCGTGAGGATAATGGCTCAGCTCCACCCGTGCACCCACCGGCCAACAAACCCAGATGGAATCAGCACTGGATCCTCCTGGCATAGGGCAACCATGGCCCAGGGCACAGCAGGAGCCTCCCGGAAGTGCTTGACTATCCTTCCCTCACACAAGTGGGAATGGCATCCTGGGGTCCCCAGTGGAGCCACCTGGCCAAGAGTGGACAAACCGCATGCGGTGGGACGCTGAGCATCCCTCCTGCGTCATCTCTGTGAGCCTGGGGCAGCAGCAGCTCCCCCACCACTGGGGTCTCCCTGGTCCTCCATGGCCAAAGCTTGGTGAGGGCAGCCCCCTGCCTGGGTGCTGCTGGGCTCCTGCTCTGCCCTTGGTCCCCGGCCAGCTCCAGGGCCTCGCACTCACCCAAGGCTTGGCTCCCATCTCACTGACCCTCAGCACGAGTACGTCCGGACCGTGGAGGTCTCCAGCCTTGGGGACCCGGAGGCACTGACTGGAAGGGAACCAAAGAGCAAATTAGTGACTGCCCCAGCAATTAGTGACTGCCCCAGCGTCCCCAAATCCTGTGTTTATTGAGCAGCAACTGTGCACTGCAGCCATGTGAAGATAAGGGTCAGAGGAAGAGCCACGTTTGGCCAGCTCAGACGCTCCTGAGACTCCAGGGAATTTGGGAAATTGCCACTTGCCATCCCTGCTCCTGGGCAGTGAGCACCCTGCTCCCTGTCTGGGTGGGATTCTGTCCCAGGTTTCACTGTCTTCAGCCAGGTGGGAATTGCAGCTTCCAGGGATGGGGTGAAAAAGGTAAAACAGAAGCCTGACCCAAACTCCTGGATGGAAAGCTGGGACATCTGAGCAAAACTGGAGGCAGGAGAAGAGCTGAATCTGGGGTTTGGAGTTTGAAGGTAAGTACACAGCTCTTTAATTCTCATTCCCATCCTTATTTCTGAGTCTGCTGAAGCCAGCTTTGCTCCAGTGGGGAGCAGCTGCTGCCTTGGGATAGTGGGACCAGGGTGCCTGGTACAGGGGACAAATCGGGGTGACCTGGCTGGAGCTTCTGCCCCCTACAGCTTTGGAAGGGACCAAGACACCTTGAAGAAAGGAGTTGTGTGGCGGAGGCAGATCCTAGGACATAGAACAGGACAGCCAGCACCACAGGCAGGCAGGGTGTCCCAGCAGGTCCTGCCAGCCCTGGGAGAGCTCAGGCAAATGGAGCCAGTTAATATGGTTCCCAAAACCAGAATGGAGGAATCTGGCCCAGACTGGGCTCCTGCATCCTGGCAGCCCCTGGGTGACATATCCCACTTCATGCCACAATCCTGGCCCCTAACTGGTTCTTGTAGTTCATAACCAAGAACTCACACACAGGTCTGAAGTAACCCTTTCAGAAAAACATTTCCAGCAGGCCACCACTCCAGGATCATGTGGATTGAGCATCTTGGGTGACCAGCAAGCCCATCCTTCCCTACATTCCCTAAGACTCTGAGCAGGGGTGGGAGAGGACCCCCTTTCCCTGGAGAAGGGCTGACCCACCTTCCGGGGGCATTTTCTTGGCTGGAGCAGCTGGAGGGGGCAGTGGCACGAGGCTGGTGACACGGAAGCCGGCAGGGAGGGTCTCAGCAGAGCCGCTGAGCAGGTTGATGCTGTGCACGTCCCGTGGGCGGAAGCGCTTGCGCCAGGACGGCGTCCGACGGAAGGTTTTGTCATCGCCCTGCAGGGAACAGCGTGTGACAGGCCCGGGGTCAGTGCCAGCAGCACCTCCTGGCCCTGTCAGACACCAGCTAACAAGGGTATGCCTGTCCTTGGTGACCAGCTCTAGAAAAGTGTGGGATCAAACTGAGCTGAGGACATCGGACATCTTGCTGGGACCCCATGGCATTGGCTTTATCCTTTCCAGCTCATCTGTCTCTTCTTTACAGCAGCCTGTAGAGAAGAGACAGATCATCTTTGCAGCCTGCCTGCAAAGATGCCTTGGAGACATCAACACAAATGTCCCAGTAAAGACTCCAAGGGATGCTGGACTCATGGCAGAGGAGCTCCAGCCCTCAGAGCTCTTCCTCTGGACTCACTCCAGCAGCTCCATGTCCTTCTGATATAGGAGCCTGGGGCTGGAGGCAGCTCTGCAGGTGGGGTCTCAGCTGAGCAGGGCACAGGGGCAGAATCCCCCCCTGCCCTGCTGCCCACACTGGGGCTCCGCCCCGCACAGGGGGGTTCTGGGCTGCCAGAGCACAGAGCTGGGGCACGCTGAGCTTCTCATCCACCAACACCCCCAGGTCCTTCCCCCGTCACACAGGACATGGAGAGGTTTGGCACTCACATCATCCAGCCTCCGGTCCGTGCCCAAGGCGAGCAGGTTGTTGAACTCCCTCTCCAGCACTTGTCGAGCCTGCAATTAACCAAAAAATTATGATCCCCCATCAATGGGGAACGTGCTTCCAGCCCAAACTTCAATTCTAGGAAAGCCTGAGCATGACAGAAAGAGCCCCCATGCCATAGGAGAGCTCTGCTTTGAAAGGCAGAGCTGAGTTGGTGACACGGGTGTGGTCACACCACAGCCATGTCCCACACTGGCCACTCTCCTCCAAAATCCCCCAAGGTTGCTGCTCCTACCTGGGTGTTCTGGGTGGGGATCTGCAGCACAAGGGCCAGGCTGTTGTGGTCAAAGTTTTCATCGAGGGCCAGCAGGGCCCCGTGCACACCACTCTCCACCAGGTTGTTGCCGTACTCGCGCAGCCCAATGGACTGGATCCAGTGAATGACCTGGTCATTGGTCCACACCAACACATCTGCACGACAGCAAGGACATGGCTCAGGGCTACCTCACACCATACTCATGGCTCTGAGGAGGTCTGGGGATGTCCTGAGGCCCTTTCCCTTTGCTCTAGGATGATCCTGGGACTCTCCTTCCCAAGCCAGCAGCAAAACCAGGAGCTCAAGTGCCAAAACCAGCTCGGTTCAATTCACCAAGCTCAAAGCTGAAATAACAGGCAGAAAACAACTGTGCAAATTAATCCTAAGAACCCATGGCTGCTGATGTAATTAGGGGCATTATCAATAATGAGATGTAATCCAAGCAGCAGCCAGATGCACAGGGAGTCTCACGACAGTGACGAGGAAGGGGAGGCTGATCAAGCTGGGGATGTCCTGAGTAGTGAAATGGGCAGAGAAGATCATGGGATGCTCAGGCTGCATCTTTGCTTTCCCCTCCTCCCTCCTCATGCCTGCCTGGGGTCAGCCGATAAAGGCACTTGGAGCAGCAGGAAGGTGCCTCAGGAGAACAGCACTGGGGGCTTGGAAATAATAGGTAAAAAAAAAGAGATAGAAGAGAGACCAGCTCTGGATATCTCCTGGGAGGTTTCTCTCCTGTTCTGGAGCTGAACAGGGGATGCTGACCTTTGATTTCATGCTGGGTCTCCTCTCTCCTCCTCTCGAGCTCTTTGCGGTCGTAGTTGAGCCTCTTGAGGCACATGATGCCGTACTGGAGGCTGGTGCTGCAACAACACGAGGGGACACGGGGGGACACAAGGGGTCACCCAGCCCTCCAGGACACGTGGATGGGAGGGACTCGGCAAGGAACCCCTCTCTCTGTCCCCACATGCCAAAGGATGCTTCAGGCCAGGGATGGGTTGGGACAGACAGAACCCGAAGCTGGACAATGGGGAATGTCCCTCCCTTCCATGGCAATTCCCCACTCCATCAGTTTGAGCCTGTTCCAGCTGCCTGAGAGCGTACAGATCCAAACAATGCTCACACTTGGTGGCTGGAGAGGGAAGGGGGAACCAGCCCATGGGGGCTGTACCAGGCTGAAGGGCTCAGCCATGGAGGTGACCCTGGCAGGCCCATGGGTCAGGGTGGGCAGTGGGAACCCCACAGCAGGGTTGGATCCTGGTGTTGGAGCCATGGCTTGGATGGCACAAGCCTTGTCCCACTGGGCTGCTGGCAGACAGCAGTGGAGCACCAGGTGGGATGAGCCTGAAGTTTTGCCCATGGTTTGCTTCACAGCCAGGGGAAGGCCTGGTCCTCTGCAATTCTGCAGCAGGGAGTGAGGTGAAGGAGAACTTCTGCCCTTAACTGCCCCACCTCAGGGCGGTGAGTCCAGCCTGGAAGAGCCATCCAGGGCTGGCCAAGACAGGGGAGAATCCCTCAAATCCCCCCTCCTCTGCTCCACATGCACGCTGGGGACCTCCGAGGGCCAGGACTCACCGGTGGAAGCTGTCCACCATCTTGAGGTGCACCCTCAGGTCCTTCTTGGTGAGGTGGTCCAGCATGCGCGCATCCACCAGGCATTCCATGAAGTAGCTGCGGTACTGGGGCAGGCCCAGGCTGGGCAGCCACTCGTTCCCAATCCACTCGTGGTTCATGTCCCCATAGGCCAATGTCTGCAGAGAAGCACATGGAGAAGCTGGAGAGAACCCAGGGCTTGGTGGAGCTGCAGAATTCCAGATCAGTGACAGCCCAGGAGGGTCACTGTCCTGAAGCTAAAACCAGGCCAGAGAGTCAGCCCTGGGTGATACTGAAGGAGTTGGAGGGAAGAGTCCTGTTGGCCGTGGTCTGTGTCCTTCTCATGTCCCCCCAGGAGGCAAAGCATAGCCAAAAGCAATGGCAAGGGATAACTGGACTTTATGAGCAGCTGCCTCTGGAAGAAGCACACTCATTGAAAGACAAAATAACTGAGAAATAGCTTCCAGTGCATTCCCAGCTCATTTTTAAGAATCTCTACTTTAAGAATCTCTATTTTATGACTTCAAAACAAAAAACAATGTCAGTTTGGGGAAAAAAAAAGAAAAAAACCTACCCATTCACTCCCACTTCAAACTGATTTTGGTCCAAAAATGAATTAAAATACACCAGAAGGAAAGGAAAACATTTGAGAGGGATAAAACCAGAAGAGATGGATCCAAGCAGGACTCTTTCCTCCTACCTTTTCATAAAAATCATCTGTATGGACTTGGTGCTACAAAATAGGTGAAAAGCAAATGTGCAGCTCAAATCCTGCCTGCATGCAGGGCGATCCCACAGGTGGGGGTTCTTAACACAGGCTCTGGATCTCACAGAGGTCCCAGGAAAAGCCACTGCCTGGAGCAGAGAAGGGCCCAGGAGGACATCCTGTACCTGGGAGATGGCCCAGAGGAGCAGCCACGGGGTGTAGGTAAAGCCTCCAAGGCCTTGGTGAACATCAATGCCCCAAACATCCCCTGGGATGTCCCGCTCCCCCCCGACCACTCCATGCACCGCCCACGGACAAGAGTGACCCGGAGACCTCACCTGTGCCCAGCTGCCTTCCTCTGTGTCCTAAGTGTGACACATGCAGCATGTCAACAGAAAGGACAGTGGAGTCAGTACCTGGTGGCCCTGCACAGGGACAGGGCCTGCCACGCACACTGAGCATGGCACCCCTCAGCACAGAGCGACACAGAGGGGACAGGGCTCGCTCTTATGGCTTGGGGACCTCAGCCTTGTCCCCAGGGTGCTGGGGACACCCCGACCCTGCTGGGCCTGGTTCCCACCCCATCTCTAACCAAGAATACAGGGAGGAGAAGGAGAAGGAGGAGAAAGAAGAGAAGATAGGATGAGGTTGGGCTGGAGATGGCACTGTCCCTGGGGCTTGTTCTTCTTCCCTGGGAAACACAGAGAATTCTTAGGTCCCCCCAGGTCAGATGGATGAAAGAGAATTAAGCTTCAGTACATCTGTCATGACCCACAGGGGACTGCCCAAGCCAATTTGCTGATTTTGTAGCTATTTCCTCCTTTGCCAACTTATGCTGGTTTTCCTCAGTCTCACAGAACCTACCAAGGGACAGTGGCACATCCCTGCTACTCAACAAAAGCTTCAATAAAATGCCTATTTCAGAGAACCCCAAACTTGTTTGGATTGGAAGGGCTCATCCTATTCCACCCCTGCCATGGGCAGGGATACCTTCCACTATCCCAGAGTGCACCAACCTGGCCTTGGACACACAATTCCCACCCAAATCTGAAATGCTGCCCATCTGAGACACAGATGGGGGTGATCAGGTTGCAGAGAAGGGAGTGTGGCTCCATCTCTCCAAAGGAGCCAGAGCTTTTGGGAGCATGGACACATCCCTGCAAGGGACCCCAAGCTGTCAGCCAGTGGCAGGGACACATGGTGGGGACAATATTTGGGTATGCTGAGGTCAGTGGGGGATCAGACCATGACTTGGGTGCAGAATGACTCAAGGATCTCATATGTCTTGAGATCACTCCTGGGTTTTGTCTTTAACTCCCAAACAGCCAGGCTGCTCTGGAAACCCAGTGATATCCACAAGGGAAAAAATCTGATGGGGTTTTAGAAATTGCTGGGACATTAAAGGTTGAAAGAGGGTTTCTAAAGAGCTGCAGGGTGCTGTCCAAGAGCTGACATGTGAGGGATCCCCTTCCCTCTGGGTTAACACACCTGGAGCTGCTTGGACCCCGACACCCGGGGGCTTCCCCCAACACCCTGGGGGCTGCCCAGCCTCACCGTCTTGGTGGAAGTTGCCATGTTCTCCATCTCCTCATGGGTGACCCAGACATTTCCAGAGGACTGCAGGGAAAAGAGCAGAGGGGTCAGAGCAAACCACCACAGAAACATGGCCTCAGTTCACAACCACCATGGAGTCATGGAATCACAGAATCACTAAGGCTGAAATATCATCAAGTCCCACCCCCAAGCCAGCACCACCACCATCTTCAGCACTAAACCATGTCCTCAAGTGCAACATCCACTCATTTTCTGAACACTCCCAGGGATGGTGACCCCACCACTGCCCTGGGCAGTTGTGCCACGGCCCGACCACCCTTTCCATGAAGAACTTTTCCCCAGTATCCAACCTGAACCACCCCTGGCACAGTTTAATGCTGTTTCCTTCTGTCCTGTCCCTGTTCCCTGGGAGCAAAGCCCGACCACCCCCAGCTGCCCCCTCCTGTCAGGAGTTGTGCAGAGCCACAAGGTCCCCCCTGAGCCTCCTTTTCTCCAGGTTAAGTCCCCCAGCTCCTCAGCCACTCCTGGTGCTCCAGCCCCTTCCCCAGCTCTGTTCCCTTCCCTGGACACGTTCCAGCCCCTCCAGATCTCTGTTGTCATGAAGTGCCCAGAACACCCCCAGGATTCCAGGTGTGACCCCAGCAGTGCCAGCACAGGGGATGGTGACTGTCCTGCACCTGCTGCCACCACAGTGCTGGGACAGCCCAGGTGCCCTTGGCCTTTCTGCCCACCTGAGTACACCAACTATGCTGGAACCAAGCCCGGCTCAGGCTGGTGGAGGATCAGACCACTGTATGCTGGAGCTGTGCTGGGGACACCCCCCATCCTTGCAGCTCAGCCCGGTGTCACCTCACTGCTCAAGGGGACCCTGGGCTGTCCATGCAGACACAGAGAGCAGACCAAGGACCTTCACTCATCTCCCTTTCCACTTCAGTGTGATTCTCAAGGAGCCTGCAGGCCTGTCCCCAGCAACTGTAACCCAGACACAGCCATCTGAGGGGGACATAGCAGCCTTCCTTCTGCCAGCTGCAAGTCTACAGATGTGTCTTGGCATTACTTGGCCACCATTAACCCCTCGAGACCTTTCGGGACCAGCAAAAGACACAATCCCTCCATCCCACCAAGGGCAGGGATCTGCAGTAGCTCTGAGTTGCCCCAAGAATTTCAGATGGAAAAGGCTGGTGTTGAAATGATTGGGAAAGAGGCTGTGTGCAACCAAGCTGGCCCTGTTCATCAGGAATGTTCGGATTTCTGCTCTTTGGATGGAGTTTTATCCTCTCTAAGGCAGCCAGGCCTTGAGTCCTACCCTTTGCAGGGTTGGCCTCCTGCTGACAACCCCGTGTGAGTGGCAGGAGCCTTGAAACTGGAAAGAGCTTCATGCTTCCAGCTGGGAATGCCCCATTTGTGCTGGGGGATGAGCGTCCAGTGGTTTGACCAGTCCATGAGGGGACATCACCCCCTCCATGGCTACGCTTGCCACAGTGGTCCCCAGGGCAAGGAGCAGTCTGGCCCCTGCAGGGCCTGGGTGTGCAGGGAGCACTCACCGTGCGGGACGTGGGCGGCGCCGAGGGGCTGGTGAGGGACACCATCTCCTGGATGGCCAGGCGCAGCTTGAGGCGGTGCAGGGCGTTGCTGATGCCGATCTCCCGCTGGATCTCGGTGTCCGACAGGGCTGACATGATGGCCCCGCTCTTGACGTTGGCCCGGCACGCAGCCACGTACCAGGCTGGCATCCCCACCCAGAGCTGGGGACAGGGACAGCAGTGACTGCCTGGCACTGCCACCCTGGCTCCTGTGCCAGGGGCAGAGCCACCCTCTCTAGAGCCCAGTATCGGAGCTGAACGTCCATGTGGGATTCTTGGCTTGGTTGTACCTTGCAGAGGTGGCCTGGGGGCAGTCCCCCATCCCTGTGCCTCATGGGCACAGCACAGGGAGGGAGCAACCACGGAGCTTTTCATAGAATCATTAAGGTCAGAAAAGCCCTCTAAGATCAGAGTCCAACCATTTCCCCAGCACTGCCATGTTCACCACTAGCCATGTCCCAAGTGCAACATCCACACATCTTTTGAACACTCCCAGGGATGGTGACCCCCCCACTGTCCTGGGCAGTTGTGCCATGGCCTGACCACCCTTTCACTGAAGACCTTGTTCCCAATACCCAACCTGAACCTCCCCTGGCACAGTTTAATGCCATTTCCTCTTGTCCTGTCCCTGTCCCCTGAGAGCAGAGCCTGACCCCTCTCCCCAGCTTAGTTTAATGCCATTTCCTCTTGTCCTGTCCCTGTCCCCCGAGAGCAGAGCCTGACCCCTCCCCCCAGCTTCCTCCTCCTATCAGGAGTTGTGCAGAGCCAGAAGGTCCCTCCTGAGCCTCCTTTTCTGCAGGCTGAGCCCCTTTCCCAGCTCCCTCAGCCACTCCTCAACAGACTTATGCTCAAACCCAAAGCTCTACTCAAACCATAACTCCACAGTCCCTGTGAGGGATGCAGGGATCTCCTCTGCTCTCCCAGGATTTGCAGGCCCCAGCCATGTGCATGGATCAAGCGTGGTGGGACATGGTGGCACACACAGACCTGTGGGCACAGCATGGGGACAATCCATGGGCACGCACCTCCAGCCAGGACACAACAGTGGGGCCATCCCAGTGGGCAAAGGGCAATCCTTTCCTCCGAGCCTCTTCCAGGAGTTCATGCCTGGCAGGAACAGAAGCAGAAGAGTAATTTATGAGGGACTTGTGTGGAAGGGAGAGTTCTTTGAAGGGAACACACCCCCGAGCAGCAGGAAGCAGCTGGATACAAAGCTGTGAAGGAAGTAACAAAGCCCAAGGGAGGGTGAAGATGAGAAGATTTCCCAGCAATTCCTAGTCCTGTGCCATGGCTTCCCAGCAGATCAGTTTCTTGCTGGGGTAGGGAAGGAAGTTCACTCACTTCTTCCGTAGGCGCCGATCCTTCTCAGCCTGAGCGCCCAGCTTGCCCAGTCCCAGGGGGTCCTGGATGCCCCCCTCCACATCAGTCAGCAGCACTGTTGGGCAAGCAAGACACCCTCAGGTCAGTGTGATGTCTCAGTCAGTGTGACCTCCCACAGGGCCACTGTGGACATTGTCACCATCCCCATGCCAGGGGGACACACAGTGACAGCACAGGAGGTGACAGTGTCCCTTTGCAACCCACCCCCATGGCTGCCCTGCATCCCTGGGAAGCCCAAGCAGACCCCCTCCTGCCATCCCTCTTACTTCCAAGTCCCAGAATCCCAAAATCACAGAACAGTCCCTTCTGGAAGGGGCCCAGAAAGATCATTGAGTCCATCAATGCTCAACATGGAAGTAGAAAAGGATTTGGGAGTAGAAAAGCAGCTCCTACCAAAGAGCTCTGCAAAATCCATGGAAAGGGAAGTAGATTTGTGGGCATTAAAGATGAGATACAGGGACAGGAGGTCACTGTCCACACCCCAGCTCTGACAGAGCATTAAGGTGACACCATGCTTAGGCCAGAAGTGCCAAGGGGAGAAAACACCAAGCTCCAACTTCCCTGAAGCTGCCACGGCCCCAGCATCCCCACACCAGCAGGGGTGTCCCTGCCCCTCCCTGTCACCCCAACAGCACCCCAATGGCAGACAGAGCCAGAGGGTGTGGAGGGCCTGGCACAGACAGGGACAGGGCTGCTCACGGACCCTGCCCCGTGGCCCCTTCTCTGCTCAGCTGGTTAAAACGACCCTTCTCTTTCTTCCCAAACAGGCGCCCGATGGAGGATTTGATCCCCTTCCTCTTGGAGCCCTTGTGCAAGGAGTCCTGGCTGCTGCTGGGATTGCTAGCCTGGTCCTCCAGTGAGCTGTGTAAGGAAGAGGGAGACGAAGAGCAAAGCCTTTAGGTTATTCTTGAGCAGGGCACATAGCAAACCCCAGCCCACCCATGCCACGTGTGCCCCAGGTGTGTCCTGCAGAGATGCCAAGGGTCTCCACATACCTCCTGCCATCCTCCTGACTCAGAGCAGGGTGGCCCAGCTTCTCCAGCCGCAGTGTCCTGGGTGAAGAGGGCGGGGATGTCTCACACTTGATGGTGGTTTTGTCCTCCCGGCTCTCGTCCCGAGCTGCGGGTGACTGAACAAGCGGAGAGGCTGTGAGGGTGGGAGGCCAGACCCCAGCTCCATCCTTGCCCTGCTGCCTGCCTCTCTCTTGCTCCATGGAGGCATGGCCAAAAGAGCCACCAGAGCCCTGGGGCTTTGCCACGCTCCAGGAATGGCCTGAATGAGAGCTCTGGCAATGGTTCCAGATGCCCAAGCAGATGGGGAGGATGTGGCAGTATGGCTGAGATCCTGGGAATGGGGGGTGAGAGGATGCAGCCCCACGGCCTAGGTCAGGGTGTGGGGACAGAAGCTGCTGCCCTCATCAGAGGACTCTGAGGAGCACAGATGGGAATGTCCCAAGGACACCCTATTGCCAGAGGGGACACAATGTTTGAGGACCCAGTGGCTTTCTGAACCTCCCCATGTCCTGCCAGACCCCCCAGGCTGCCAGCGGGAACATGTCCAAGCACCTTTCGGGATCCCCATGATCCTCCTGCTGAATCCCTGGGGTCCCCAGCTCCATCCCGCGCCTGCTGCACCCTGACCTGGTGTGGACAAAGCCAGGAGCAGGCTGGAAAAAGGGCTTGGACAAAAACCAACGGGATGGGAGCCACTCACTAGCAGTTTCCTCCGGTGCTTCCTCAAGTCGCTGGGCTGATTGCAAGGGGGAAAGCGAGAGAGACACAGAAAGGGGGGCAGTTAATGGAGCACCCCCCCAGAGCAGTCCCGGGGCCAGGCTGCCAGCCTGGAGGCAGCAAACACGGGCACCCCGTTGTCCCACACCCCCCACAGGCCCGTGTGGACACCGGCATCGCTCCCACCTCACAGCCGGACCCCGGCAGCCCCTCCCGGCTCCTCACCAACGTCATGATCCCCATGCGGTCCAGGTCCTGCGCAGCGCTGCGGGAGCTGAGCTTGGGCGTGGAGCGGCCGCTGAGAGGTGGGGACGAGCTGGCCAGGGACAGGGCTGTCAGCGAGGTGGGGATGGAGGCCCTCTTGCACAGCTGGGTGAGGTTCAGGCCCTCCATGCTGCCGCTCGTGACCCGCGTCTCCAGCTCCTCTGCACGGAGCTCCGTGGACTCCTTCTCCTCCTGGATCATCCTGGGGAAGCAGCAGGGCTCAGGGCTCCTGGCTCCCCACCTTCCCAGGGACACAGGACCTCTGTCCTGGGGAAATGCACCTTGGTCCTGTGCCTCAACCCACAGTCTCCAAGAATGGCAGCAAGATTCATCAGGATCCATAAAAACCAGAGCTGAGACACACCCTGATTCCTTTTAATATCCATGGACGATATGAAATATGATAGTTTGAAATAATAACCCTCTGAGCCAGCACTGGTGCAGCTGAGGGACAGGGAGACATGGCAGGAAGGACCAAGCTCTGTGGCTGGATGTCCTGGAGCCACTTCCCTGGCTGAAGACACACCAAGGCCCCAATTTTAGGTCAGCAGAACCTTCTGGCTATTTGTTGTCCCCCTGGAGCCATTTCTGCACAAGGCAGTGTTGGGTTTTGGCCATGATCATACCTGATCTCTTCGTTGATGGCATCCAGCTGCTCCTGAAGCATCATGGCCAATGTCTGGGCATCTGAGTGCCCACCAGGAGAGAGCACATCCATGGAGCTGAACAGCGTCTCACGGTCATCCTCGTCCACGTCGGAGATGTCCGGGTCGCTGTCGAAGGCGTGAGGCCCTGTGGCCAGGACCCCACCTGCCTGGGCCTGCTCCCAGTCCTGGGGGAACAAAGGCCACAGTCCTACACAGCATTCCCATGTCTCCAAAAGCCAGACTGGTGATCTCCATGCAGGAATTCTATCTCAATGTGACCCCAATGAGATGTTCCCCCATCAATGCACCAGGAGAAGGAAGCTGCCCCAAGTCTCCACATCTGACCCTAATCCCAGCATGCAGGGCAGGAGCAGACCCTAACACAAGGGTGCACAGGGTTTACCTTGGCTGGCTCCTCTCTCCGGGCACTGAATCGTCCCTTCTGTGCCCGGGGCAGCCCCGGAGCTGCTCCGAAGGGCTCAGCTGGGGCGTGGACCACAGCTCCCAGCGGGAAGCGCAGGTCAGTGGCACTGCCCATGTGGGACCTGGGAAGAAAGAGCCCTGTGGGGGACATTGCTCTGTGCAGGACACCCTCAGGCTGCTCCCCTTGGAGCCCAGGCTTCTTGGGACAGAGGAGGAGGAGGAGCAGGAGGAGGAGACCACTGCAGGACGCCCATCCCAGCGATGTTTGGCCTGCTTGGCACGAAAGGATGCAAAACCAGGCTCTGGAAAAAGGTGCCCCATTCCCCCACAGGAGACCTGGAAATGCACTCACAGAATCTCTCACAGAATCATTGAATCACAGAATATCCTGAGCTGGAAGGGACCCACAACAATCAAGTCCAGCTCCTGGTCCTGCACAGACACCCCAACAAACCCACCCTGGGCATCCCTGGCAGCGCTGTCCAATCACTCCTGGAGCTCTGGCAGCCTCGGGGCCGTGCCCATTCCCTGGGGAGCCTGGGCAGTGCCCAGCACCCTCTGGGGGAAGAACCTTTCATGATATCCAGCCTAAATCTCCCCTGACACAGCTCCAGCTGCTCCCTGGGTCCTGTCCCTGCTCACAGAGATCAGATTCCCTTCTGAGGAATCTGCAGCCTCCGATGATCTCTGACCTCTGGAGACTCCCAGCTTTCCCAGACTGTCAGAAGTTCAGCCCTGGGCCTTCCCCTGCTGCTCCTTCCCACTTCTTTGTGCACCCATCGGGGCAACCAGCCAGTTCTGCCCCGAAGCCCCTGCACTGGGGGGCTGCTGTGGAGCAAGGGCTGAGCAGGCCCCTCCTGCCCCTCCCTCTCCAGAACAGCTGGAATGTCCCAACACAGCTTGTGTCTTCTCCATCCCCACGTACCCAGCAGGAGCCAGCCAGGGAGCTCTTGTCCTTTTTATGTTTATTCCAGCATTTGCATGAGAAAATACCCTGATGAGTGTCAGTCTCTTCTACCAGGCAGTGAGTGACAGATGAGGGGAAATGGCCTCAAGGGAAGGTTCAGGTTGGATATTGGGAAAAATTTCTTAATGGAAAGGGTGTTCAGGCCCTGGCACAGGCTGCCCAGGGCAGTGGTGGAGCTCCTACCCCTGGAAGTGTTCAAAAAATGGCAGATGAGGCACTTTGTGATGTGATTTAGTGGAAATGCTGGTATTTGGGTGAAGGCTGGACCTGATGACCTTGTAGGACTCTTCCAACCTTAATGATTCTGCGATTTCAATGAATAAAATTCCACCTGAAACATCTTCCAGGTGTGAGGACATGAGAATTGTTGGGACCTCCCAGCAGGAACCAGCTGGGACTTCTTCACCCTCCTCCTCCTCCTTGCCAGGGCTGGTGCTTGGGACCAGGCCCTGGTGAGTCCCACACCAGGCAGAGCAAGGCAGCAGCCTGACAGGAGGACACTTTGAGCCACCCATGGTGCTCACTCCATGTCTCCACTTTGCCCGGTTGCTCCTCTTGGCCCTGAAGACCCAACCCTGGAGCTGAGCAAGGCACAGGGTGATTCCTGGGCACAGGATGATTACTCCCCACATACAGGGCCACTGGAGACTCAAAGTTTGTTTAATTTAAGGTGAATTTAAGATGATAAAAGCAGCAGCCCCAGGCAGATGGTGGTTTTCCACCATGGTGGGCCAGGTTTGCAGGCCTGGATACAGAATCAGGTCACGCCTGGAGGTCAGGCAGAACAGGCCTGGAGACAAAATCAGCACCACGAGCAGCATGACTGAGCCAGCCTGGTGTGTCAGACAAAGGCACAAGCTAAGTTCCAGGATTTCAGAGCTGCTGCCAAGCTGCTGCCCACCTAAAACCAGATAAAAACACCTTAGACAAAAGCTGACATTTCAGCTGGAGGATCATTCTGCAATGCAAGATTTCTGCTGACTTTTCACCTGAGAAATATAAAAAAATCACCAAATTGTCCATCCTGCTCTTACAGACCCACTCAAAGAGGTCCCACACAGGCTCCAGACTCTGCTCCAGCACTCAGCACTTCATCCTCAAAGGATCTTCCTCACTCTCCCCATTTTTTCTCTTCATGACAGACAGAGGGTCTCTAGGCCTTCTTTCTGCTGACAGGTCCAAGGCTGGTTACACCAGCTCCTCCCCATCTTTTCCAGCCTTGCTACAAAGGGAATTTTCTTCACTGGTTGCTCCCACTGACCCCTTGCTGCCTTGAACCCACACTGGAAGAGCTCAGGGCAGGGTGTGGCATCCCAGGTGGGGTTGTTGTGCTGTCACCCTCCTTTTCCACCTCCATTTTCCTGGAGCAGCTCTGGGTATCCTGGTCAGTGCTGGAGGCTGAACTGATCCTCTGCTCCTGGTGCCCTGGGCTGGGACGTCCCCACATCCCAGCTGACTTTAAATGGAAGGGTGTGGGAGGACCATTGCTTTGGAGCAAGAGGGGTTTCACTCTCCTTTGCCTGCAACAGCTCCAAAGCAATTCCTCCTCCTGCCCCAGCCCATCCCCTGTAGCCCACAGGGGAAAAGTCCTCTGGTGAATATCCAGCTTTCAGAGCAAAATAAGTCCTAAGCCACTTGTGCAGAAAAACAAGAGCAAATTTGGGGCCATTCAGTTGGGCTGGACTATTCTCAAGAGTCCATGTCCCACGCCAGGACAGATCCATGGTGGGACAGCACGGCTGGAGCAGACCCTGCTGTGAGGACCCTGCAGTCCAGCGCTGAAGCTTGGGGACACCAGAAACACCCAATGCCAGCACCACCTTGGGGCCCCCAAAGCAAACTGCCCCCAAAGCTAGGGGTGCAGGGGTTTGCCCTGGCACTTACCTGGTATGCACACTCTCCACAAATGTCCCACTCCTGGTCTTGAGCTGATCCACCTCCAGCCTCAGCTTGTCGATCTCATCAGACAAACGCCGCTGTTTGGGGGGATGAGACAGGCAGGGCTTGGGTTTGCTCTGGAGAGTTGCCAGGTTTGGGCAATCCACATCCTTGGCTATTGCCATGCTTACATTCCCTTTACAGATCCCTACCCCAGGTTTAAAGCACCTTGGACATATCAGTAGAGAAACAGCTCATGCAGGCACAGGGAATGAGGGTGCTGGGGAGGGAGGACCAGGACAGACAGGCACAGGTGCTCAAGGAATGCTGCTCTGGGAGATGAAGGAAAACAGGTCCCACTTGGATGCTCTGGTTCTTCTCCAGACTGCACGTGTGTTCCTTTGGCAAGGGATTGGCAGTGTGGGACCCCCCAGCCAAACTTGCTGCTGGCCCTGTCCCTCCTGCTCCCAGCCCCATCCCCATGGGGAAGCTGTGCCCGCACCCCGTGCTCAGAGATGCCAGGGGAGGCTGCAGATGGACAGGGAGGGAGGGGAGAAGGGATCTCCCAGGCACAGCAGGATCCAGTCTGGGGGACAAACAGGCTGAGCCAGGGTGGCCAAAGTGCCAGCAGTGTCATGCAAGTCCCCAAGCTCTGCCCTGCCCAGACCTGAGCAGCCATGGCTGGGAAGCACAAGGAATAAGCACACATGCTCCCTGCAGGCAAGGGGAAAAGTAGCCCCCCTGATCCCCCAAAACCATGCATGAGACATGCAGCACATCCCAAAAGTTCCCATTGCTCCAAAAAGCCACGTCCCTCCAGCTTTCTAGCAAGGCCACTAGGGGTTCATGCAGATGCCAATGAGGTGCTTCGTGTGAGAGCAGGGTGTGAAGAGCTGCGGGGCCTCTGCAAGCTAGGCACAGGGCAGATCACCCCCAGTCTGAGAAAGCCTCAGGGGCCAAGGGGATGTGGCTCCCTGAGCCCTCCTCCAGGCCTGGATGAAGCCAGCCTGGTCTCACCACTGCACCCAGTGGGCTCAGGGATGGATGAGTGTGACAGGAACATGGATGGTAGGGAACTGACCCGGGGCTCTCCAGGGCGGGGGTGGCAGCTTCCACCCAGCTACTGTGTGGGTGAGTGTGTGGCCTCCTGCTGCTGGGTGCTCTGCTCCCCCCAAACTGGGGCATTTTTGGAGAAGCAAGTGCCCCTAGCCAGGGGCTGGGAGTGAGGCAATGCCATCACTGGGTCAGGTCCCTGCAGCCGCATTTACCTTGTCATGCTGGTGTTCCTCTATCTGCTTTTGGGTATTTTCCAGCTCTTGTAACAATGTATTCTTTAAGAAAAACCAAAAATAAAATAAAAGGGAACAAAAACAGGAAAGAAAAAGAGAGACCATTTAGGAAACGGCCGCATGGCCTCCCAGGAATGGCCAGTGTGGAATTCCTGTGTGGTGAACACCTGGAAAAGGCTCCCTGGGCTATTCCTCACCTGCCTCAGGTGCACAGGTCTCCTCTGCAAAGCTCCTGCCTCTCAAGCAGGGTGGCCACAACTCAACTCCTGCCCCGCTCTGGGGCTGAGCATGGCCATGGAGGGCGATGAGGCATTTGGTGGACAGGGCTTGAGGATTAGGAAATATATCTGAGAGAAGAACAACTCCTCGAGCAGCTAGATCAAAGGGAAAAATGTCCCTTACATCTAAGCTAGGGAGTAGGCAGCGGGGAAAGGAGAGGTGCTTATAGAATCACAGAATCATGGGATTCTTAAGGTTGGAAAAGCCTTCTAAGACTGAGCCCAACCATTTCCCCCCATAGCTGTGTTCACAGCTAAACCATGACCCCAAGTGTCACATCCAGGTTTTTGCAACGGGATGGTGACTCCACCACTGTCCCGGGCAGTCTATTACAATGCTATAATTATTTCCTTGAAAATTTTTTTTCTAATATCTGTCTAAACCTCCCCTGGAGAGTTTGTAACTGCCTGAACCAGTGCTCATTTTTGGTAAGTGCTGGCAGCCAAACAGGATCATTTTTGTGCATGAAAGACCTGGATAAATTCTCAGGGTGGGCAAGTGCTGGCACCAGACTGGGGAGCAGGCAATGCCCTTCAAAACGTGTCACCACTCTGGTCCCTGTTGCTTGTTGGGGTGGGATTTGGACTCATCCCTGCAGTTTGAGTCCTGCTCTTTATCCAGACAAATCTGCTGAGTAACTGGACATGCTGGCATAGCCACATTTGGTTGAGGACAGGAGGAGCAGAGCAACATGAGGGAGACAGAGCCAGCCCTGGAGGCGTCAGCTGGGGGATGCATCTGTGTGCTCTGACTTGCTGAGGGCAGGAACCCTGAGAGAGCTGAATCACCAAGGCCTGACCTCCCACTGGCACTCTGGGTGGGTCCTTGCTTGGAGCCAGCTGCCCCCAGTTAATTCCATTCACACTGAGGCAGCCACAGCTCCTCCAAGGAAACCCAGTTCCCCAGGAGTCAGGTGGGAGAAGGGAAATCAGTCTGCACCTTGGGGCAGGAAAGTTTTAAGGCAGCACGTGGAGGGATGGGCACTGTGACAGGATGAACACTGCAATTTTTCCCGCAAAATGAAAAATGGGATTTGCTCTGACAGCTGGGCAAAGGTGGCATCAGGGCTGCACCAGCAGAGACACAGGGAGGTGAGGGAAAGGAGCAGGACAAATCCTGCTACTGTGGGAGGTGGAGGGGAGGGGGTCTCCTTGAGTGAGGTGACCAGAGCAGTTCCCTGTGCTCCACCAGCCCCAGCACAGCCATGTCTTGCATGTTACCATTTCTCCAGCCCTGCACAGGCACTTCCAGCCCTGGGCCATGGCCGAGGCACAGAGGCACAGAGGGGCTGCAGACCCCTCAACCCCCAGAGGAGCCCTGCCCCAGGCAGTACCTTCTCCTCCAAGGCTGCCATCCTCTCCTTGAGGTGCAGCTGCAGCCGCTCGTTGGACTCGCTCAGCAGCCGATCCACGGTGTCCGAGAGCCGCTTGTTGTGCTCCTCGTTCATCTTCTCCCGCTGCCGCGCCTGGACAGACACAGGGACACCCGTGTCACAGCCAGAGGGGCTCAGAGCCCTCCTGCCTTCCTGTGCCTGCTGTGGTGTCAGAGCTGGCCCTAGGCCCAGCGTTTGGGGACAAATCCACCTCTTACAGCACCGGTTGGACCCTCTGTGGTGGCTCTGCTGCTCTCTGCCACCTCCCAGCCAGGGATGAACAGAAGAGAAAAGGATTTAGGGAGACCATGCCTGTCTGCCCCTCAAGAAAGCTTCTCCTATGTGTCTTCCAGGAATACCCACACTGGGGACACCTTCCAGACCCCACCAGATACTGAACTCTGGATTTTCAAACATCTGTCTTAAGGCAAAACATCTGGGGGCTTCCCCAGGGCCACATCTGTAATGTCACCTGGGTGACCCGAGAAATGGGCATCACAGCCTCCTGCATGGGCAGCCCAGCCCCGGCAGAGCTGAAGAATGGACTGTGCAGCTCAGGGCACAGCAGCTCAGCTTCCCTGCCCTTTTCATTCTGCTGATCCAGGCTTGGGGGAAGAGCTGCTGAAGCCTCCCCTTCCACCTTTTGGGGTTCTAGATTTCCCCAGGGAGTGAAGCTGAGAGAGAAGTGGGTGTGGAATATTACCAGCAAGTCTTGGATGCCTGGGAGAGAGGAAATCACAGCAGAGAGTGCCATGAGCTCCTGTGTGGCTCAAATTTAAGTGATCCTGGATGGGAAAGGATTAACCAGGCTGTTCTCCCAACCTGCTCTCAAACTGCAATCCAGGTGTGCCCAGGTACACAGGCACCAAGGCAAGGATCAGGACTTACCCTGGCCAGCTCCTGGTTCTTCTCCTCCAGCTGAGTCTCCAGCTGCCGGAGGTGCTCCTCGATGCTCCCGTGCCTCTCTTCTGCCTGGGAAAAGCAGAGCAGCTTTCTCGGATGATGCTCCCCAAAGCCATGGGGGCCCTGCTTCATCCTGGTGTCCATCTCTGCATCTGAGTCCTTCCTGGGATGCAGGGCTCTCTCCCACTGCCTGCATCCCTGCCAGAGCTCCCTGTGAGCCCAAACCAGCCCTGCTGGCATGGTGACAGGAGCTGGAGGTGCCCTGTGAGGCCTAAACACCATTCCAGAACCCATGGGTTGGGGATGGCTGCATGCATTCCTCCCTCCAGGCCTGCACCCTCCAAAATCCAGCCTGGTGCTTCCTCTTTCTCCTCATCTTAGAGTGGTCTCACCCAAGCCAAAGGGCATCTACACCAACAAGGCCATCCCCACCTTGGAGAAAGGGGCTGAGGGAAGAGCAAACCCCTCATGTGCAGGACACATTGAGGCCACAGCTGGGAAGGAGAGTGGGATGCCTGAGCTGCCATGAGCTCCACTGCTGCAAGGGGCAGCCAGACACAGCTCCTCCCCTGGTCCCAGCACTGCCCTCCGTCTTCAATCCCTTCCCTCCCTCTCCAATCCCTTCCCTCCCATTCCCTCCGGTCTCTGACGCCCCCTCCAGCCCCAGCCCCACCCGTGCCACTTGCCTTGGTGAGCGCAGCAATGCGCTGGGCCAGCTCCGCTTCCACCTCGGGCAGCGTCTCCGCCTTTCTCATCGTCTGCTGCAGCTTCTGCTCCGCCAGCTCCAGCAGCTCCTGCAGGTGCCGCGCCTTCTCCTCGCACTGCGGGACAGCAGGGTGACTGCCCGGCATGTCCCACCCCAGCACCCCCTCCTGTCCCCCAGGTCCCCGGGGCAAGGGGACACTCAGGGCCCAGTTTTGGTACCTGGCGGTGCAGAGACTCCTTGTTGGCCAACTCATTCTCCAGTTTGTCATTGAGGTCATGGATGGAGGTGGCCTCTCGTTGGGCTGCCAGGTACCGTTTCTCCAGTGTGGTAATCCTCTCCTCCATGTCCTCCTTCTGTGCCAGGGCCTGGGGAAGCGATGGGGCTGTCACAGCCTGCTCTGTGACAGCATTTTGGGAATAGCAGGGCCATCCAGCTCCTTCAAGCCTGGGACACCCCAAGTCCAAGGGGTGTGAAAACCCCCCTTGAAACGGGGATGAGGGACAGCAGAACGGGACAGTGACAAAGGGAGAGTCAAACAACCACAGGAAAACCTTCTAGAGAGGACACAGGTCACTGCCCCAGGTGTGCAGCACACCTGAGAGCCTGTCTGTAACCTCAGAGAAGTCCTACTGATGGACTTGGGGACAATTTCCCAAAGGCAGTGGCCTCTTTTGGAGAACAACAGGACAGTTCCAATCCCCTCCCAGCCCTGTGGAAGCAACTGTGAGGTCTCTGCCCTAGGCTGGACAGTGCAGAGAGACAGGGACTCACCTCTCGGAGGTCTCTCTGGTACTTGCTGCTCATCTCCTCAGATTTGATCAGATCCTTCCTGGCAGTGCCCAGATCCTCCTCCAGCTCAGCCACACTGGCAGCCAAGGCAGAGATTCGCTCTTTGGCCTGGACCACTTCAAAATTCTGCTTCTCCAGGAGCTCCTGCAGCTCCACCACCCGCCCAGCCTCGTCGTCCGGGTGGACGGAGCCATTGGAGAGGCGCTGCAAGGCACCACAGAGGGAGGTGGATATCGGGATGCTCCAAAGCTCCCAGGCTGTGGCATTGCCTGCAGCTACTCAAAGTGGAAATGTGGCCCTGCAGGGACTCAGTGAAGGGGTGGAAGTGGAGACAGGGGGCTCTGGGACCTCCATCAACAGCCTCCACAAGCCAGGCATGGGGCTTCTTAAAGGAATGATAGAATAGGGATGGCTGAGGGCTTACCAGAGCATCTAGTGGAAGATGTCCCTGCCCATGGCGGGGGCTTGAACAAGATGGCCTTTAAGGGCTCTTCCCACACAAACCATTCTGTGATCTCTGGGAAGTAGAACCCCTTGGAGCACCCAAGCACAAATTCAGTGCACCCTGCTCAGAAATAGCCTGTATCTACCAGGGGCTGGACCCAAAGAAGAGGGAAAACGGTTTTCAGCGCCCTGGAGCCAGCAGCAGGGACGTGGGAGAAATGACAGCCTCACTGAGCATGGTCAGAGCAGGGGTTTCCTGGGCTCTCACCTTCCATGGAAGCTTCGGGGCTGGTTCCTTGGGCTCCCTCTCATCGCGCTCACTTGCCGCAGGCTCCCGGGCGGAGCCTTGCTGCAGAGCTGCCACCTGCATGGGAACAGGGACTCAGCAGTGGGGGACAGCAGGAGGTGAGGCCAGTCCTGCTGCATCCAGGGCTGCACCAGCTTCCTGCCAGAGTCCTGCTTATGGCTGCAGGGGACCAGAGGGAGCAGGTGAGGAACAGCCCTGAGCTGGCACTGCTGGGGTCACACCTGGAATGCTGGGGGCAGCTCTGGGGGCCTCAGTTCAGGAAGGACATTGAGGGGCTGGAGCGTGTTTAGGGAAGAGAACAGAGCTCAGGAAGGGGCTGGAGCACCAGGAGTGGCTGAGGGAGCTGGGGGGCTCAGCCTGGAGAAATGGAGGCTCAGGGGAGCCCTTCTGGCTCTGCACAACTCCCTGACAGGAGGGGGCAGCTGGGGTGGGGGGTGATCAGGTTCTGCTCCCAGGGAACAAAGGGATGGGACAAGAAGAAATGGCCTCAAGCTATGCCAGGAGATGGTCAGGAGGGACATTAGGAAAAAATTTTTCCCTGAAAGGGTGGTCAGGCCCTGGCACGACTGCCCAGGGCAGTGATGGAGTCATCATCACTGAAGTGTTCAAAAAACAAGTGGATGTGGAACTTCACAATATTGTTCAGTGGGCATGGGGGTGTTTGGTCAAAGGTTGGTGGTTTTTCCAGCTTTAATGATTCCATGATTCTAAGACAGAGGAAGTCAGAGGTGCTGGGAAGGCTCACCACTGAGGGAGGTTTTCCTGGTGAGCCCAGGATCCCAGGGCTCCCTCCCAGCTCACTTCACTGGTTTACAGCCAGACAGATTCTGAACCCAGTGCAGCAGGAGAAGGGGATAAACACTGGCACTGTGTCCTGCTCTGATAGGGGAGGATGGGGAATGGTTCCTGAAAGGAGAGGGGTCTGGGAGCCTGGGAAATACCATAAGACTTATCCTGGGAAATGGAAGGAGGAGCAAAATTTGGCCAACAGAGGCTGTAGGAATAGCTCCTTCCTTTTGGGACTAGTGGCTGGGCACAAACTCCAGGAAGGAAAACAGAATTCATGCCTCTTCAAGAACTCTTTATCTCTGGAAGTGTCCTAAGCCAGGTTGGACAGAGCTTGGGGTAACCTGGGATAGTGGAAGGTGTACCTGCCCATAGCAGGGGGTGGAACGAGATGAGCTTTAAGGTTTCTTCCCACCCAAATGAGTCTGAGATTCTGAGATGACCATAGCTGGAGGTTGGGGACAGCAAAGTCCCAACCCCAGGACTCCAGCAGGGAAGAAGATGGGGGATGCAAGATGAGGTGCTTGAAGTAGTGTGATTGGGGTCTCTGCCAAATCAGAGCAAATCCCACGTCACCCTCAGCCCCCTGGAATGATTCAGATTCAGACTGTTTTTGTCAGTGACATGAATTCCAAACAGCAAACAACAGGGAAATGTCACCTGTGAGACAAACAGTTTCCAGAATCTTTACAAGGTCTCCTTAAACACAGACAAACCTTCAAGTAAACAGCAATTTCAGAACAAAAGCCTTACATCAAACCTGACCAAATGCAAATACCACATGAACTCCCAAAGGTAACAGGGAGCATTCCCAGCCCAGCAGGTGCCCAGGTACCTCTTACCTGCCGGTGGGCATCCACGAGCTGCTCCTCCAAGGTGGCCACTCGCTCCAAGGCTGCTCGCAGGCGTTCCCTCACCTGCAGGTGAGTGAAACAATGGGAAAGGCTGTTATTTATCCAGGATGAGGGTGTCCAGGATTTAGGCACACTCCCAGGCCTGTTTGCTGGGCTGACAGCCAGGCTCAGATGGATTCACATGTTCAGGATCATCCAGCCCATCACAGGGGGTTAAATTGTGTTGGAGAAAACAGGCTGGGCCAGTTCTTGGAGATCTATGGCCAGAATAGCCTGGAGAGGTCTCCTAGCAGAGGAAGGAGATGCTTGAGGTGAATGAATGAGGAGGGACAATGAAGACTGACCCAGGGTGTCAAATGCCACCACCCCGAGAGTGACCTGGAAGAGTTCCCTGTCCTCAACAGCCTTCTACCCAGAGGATACACTGGGCAGCCCTAGCAGCTCCTCAGTGCAGCTTTGGGATATCCAAGACTTTCCTGCTGAGGGTCCCCATGTCACCTTAAAAACACAAAGTAGAAGGGATGGAGTGGAGGGCTGGGAGAATGAGCTCTGAGCAGGATAGGTAATAACAGCTTCCCACCTTTTCATCCAGCGCCTTGTGATGTTCAAAGAGTGACTTGAGTGCCTTGAGCACCTCGACCTCACTGGACACCCCAGATGGCGACTGGGCCTGCCGCTTGACCACGGTCATCCTGAGGGAGCGCTCATGCCGTGACACCAGGCACTCCAGGTGCTCCAGCAGGAGCTGCACGGGGACAAAAGAGGGGCTGTCACTGCCAGGATGGGCCCAGCAGCCCCTGGGGTCCCCCAGTCCCAGGACTGAGGGCCTGCCAGCAGGGTCTCCAGGCTTACCCGGGTGTTGTTGCGCTCGGCTTTCAGCTCTGAGATCTCCTCCTCCCTCTCCAGGAGCTGCTCCCGGCAGGCGCTGAGCTCCCGCGTCAGCGTCGCAAACTCCTGCAGAGAGCAGGGACAGGATGGGATGGAGTCAGCATTCCAGCCCCACTGCTGGACCTCCAGCACAGCATTTCCCATCCAAACCCAGCCAGGGTATCACTGCGGGGAACGTGGAGAAACCAGTGGAGAGGCACAGCCAGGCCAGGAGGGGATTTATTCCTGGCTTCCCTCATGCTCTGGACAAGGAGAACACAGCAGCTCAAGATTTATCTCACTTGGTTTGATGTCCAATGACACAAGAAACTGTTCCACAGCTGCAGAGGTGGTCAATAGCATTTAAAGCATCCAGTCAAGACCGCCAGCAGGCTCCCATTCCCACTGTCCCCTGGATGAAGCTCCCACCTTGGAGGCTAAAACTCACCACAAAGCCATAGCTGGTCAGGATGAGTCCCCTGGCCCTCAGCCAGCCTCTGCCATGGCCTCAGGACCTGGAATCATCCAAAACTTCCTTCCAAAAGAAAGAGGTTGCTGCCTCAGTCCAGCATGTGGAGCCCCAGCGAGCTGCATATGGGGCACCCCCAGGTCCCGAGTCCCAGCTGAGAGGGATGGGGCACAGCAGGAGATACGCCAGGTGCCACCAACTCTTGCTGCTGCCACCACTTCCTCCAGGAATGTGACAGCCAGCAAGGAAGAGCCATGCCCAGAGAATGCTGCACACCCAGCACATCCCTCAAGACAGGATGAAAGCCACAATCACACTTGTGGCTGTGTCAGAGGGGAAGGAAAACTCACTCTGAAGTGTCTTGGATGCAGGAGGGCTCCCTTTTCTATAAAAAATAAAACCCAGGCACCTGGATGAGCGCAGGAGCACCTCCCATTGCTCCCAGTGTCTCTTCAGTGGTGCCAGGCCTAAGTGAGGTTTCGCAGCTGGGATTTCTTAGGGTGAGAAATGCAAATGCAGGAACGTGCCATGAATTCACACCATGTTGAGTGTTGTTGGAAAGAATTTTAAAAGGCAAAGGATTTCAGAAGAAGCCAAGAAGGATTTGATGGAGCATTAACAAACCAAATTTCAAGAGGGGGCTGAGAGCTGCTTTACAGCATGAAATTCTTTTTCACTTTAATTTTCAGGTTTACCAAATAAAACCGCTTCAAACCGAAGCAAAGCATTGAGGCTTAGGCTGAATCAAGTGCTCTGCTCAGCTCCAAGTGAAACCTCCTGTGACAGCTGAAGCTCCAAGAAATCCAGAGCTTTTACATCTGTTTGCCCCAGCCAGGTTTTCCCTCTCCCTCCCCTCCCCAAACCTGTCCCACTGGTGGGGTTTGTAGCCTGGGATTGGTGGGGAGGGTGGTGCCACTGGTGCAGTTGAGACCCCCACAGTGGGACAGGATGTAAGCAGGTTGCAGTGAGGGGAAAGGAGAAAGAATCACTGTCCCTACAAACAGCTGCTTTCCTGCCTGTCACCTGCCTCAGGCAGCTGCCACCCCACACCCCTGCTCCACATCCCTGCTCCAGCAGCCCTGCTCTGACATCCCTGCTCCACATCCCTGCTCCAGCAGCCCTGCTCTGACATCCCTGCTCCACATCCCTGCTCTGACATCCCTGCTCCACATCCCTGCTCCAGCAGCCCTGCTCTGATATCCCTGCTCCAGCAGCCCTGCTCTGACATCCCTGCTCCACATCCCTGCTCCAGCAGCCCTGCTCTGACATCCCTGCTCCACATCCCTGCTCTGACATCCCTGCTCCACATCCCTGCTCTGGCATTGCCCCAGGGCCTGAGGTCCCCGGTTCCTTCCCAGACCCCTTCCTGCCCCATCCATTCTCCAGGAACCACTCCAGCCCTGCAGTGTTCCCTCCTCCCCATCCCTTCTTAGGGACCACTCCAATCTGGGATCACCCCTGGCCCCACCCCTTCTCCAGGGATCCTTCCAGCCCTGGGATCACCCTTCTCCCCACCAGTTCTCCCCAAATCTGTCACAACACCCCATACCTCGTCACTAACCTCTGCCATGGCACACCCCATACTTGCTTTGGGACCATCCCACAGTCCCCAGAGCACAGGGAACCCTCGGCAGATCCAGCTCCACTGGGACCCCGCTGTTCCAGCCCAGCCCTTCCCGGAGCCGTGCTCTGCCTGGCGCTGGGATCCCGGTGCGATCCCGGTGCGATCCCGGCGGGCTCAGCCCGGCCGCAGGCACACGTGTGCATTCCTGGGTTATGCAAGAGCTGCCAGCAGCTCCCGAGCATCCCTGCGGATCAGAGCCGGGCTGGGAATGCCGGCGAGCAGAAAGCAGCAGGGAGATGTGCTAGAGAGGTGCCTGTGCATCGCCACAGATTGAGGGATCTGTCACTCCCCCAGTGCCTCAACATGCCAAGAGACAGGCGGCAGGGCTCCAGGAGCTTGGGAAAAGCATCCTGGCAGCCGGGATGGCCCCAGGAATGTCTTCCAGCAGCCCGAGCTGTAAACGTCGGGGACGCATCAGCTCTGTGCTTTTCCAGCACCAGGGCAGGACCCTGCGGATCCAAAGCCTCTCTTCTGCACTGTGGCTGGAAGGGGACCCCGGCTGTGGACATGGATGCTCTTCCCACAGGGGTGAACAGGGCAGGGCAGCGCGGGATGGGTGGGACAAGGCATTGGAGGCAGCAAGAGGACATGGATGGCCAGTGCTGGGGACAGAGATCACCAGCACCCAGCCTCCTCTCCCCACATTCCCTCGCCGTGGTGGCCAGGCTGTACAGATGCTCCTGCAATCAGGATTTCATCCTGAAAGAGGGGATTAAAAGGGAGCAAATCCTCTGGAGAGAGAAGCAGCCCCTGCTGCGGCCAGCCCGGCGCACACGCGGTCAGCGGGTCACAGCCAGGGCTGGGCACAGCACAGAGCTCCCGCCAGCCCTTCCCCAGGGATGCTCCTCTCCAAGCCCTTCATCCCGATAGGAATGCTGGCTGCATCCTGTGCTCTGCATCCCACATCCTGTGCCAGGCCTGGAGCACCCCACGGCAAATCAAAGAGCCCTCGGTCACTGTTCCCCCTCAGGGAAGGCTGCAAAAATGAACATTTACATCAAAAATAGCAACAGCCCTGCGGCGAGCCAGGCCAGCAGTGGGGTCAGCCAAGTACACAGGGCCTGAGTACGATGCCTTGGGAATAAAAAATAGGAACAAACCACTCCAGCTCCCGGTTGCAGCCACCTCCCTCAGCCCCGGCTGTGCCAGATGCCAATGCTGCCACCTTGCTCTGGGTCACTGGTGGGCACCAGGCAGGTTTGGGACCATGACAAGCTGTCCCAGCTCACGGCTGCAGTGTCGCACTGTGAAGTGCAGCCTCCACCCCCATCCACACGTGTGCCATAGCCCTCCATCCCAGCAAAGTGGAGATAAAGAGGATCCAGATGATTTTCCTCTGCCCTGGCCATGGCCAGGAGTCTCCCAGGCGAGGCAGAGGCGCCTGCCCTGCTCTGAAAAGCTCTGGGACTAAACAGGGACACCTATAAACAGATTAGAAAGTGAAGGAGAGGTGCCTGATCTCCAGTCCAAGGGTGGCAATGAGAATCCAGCCTGAGAGTCCCTGGGAGCCTTGCAAGCCCAGCAGTTCAGGGAGGGGCCAGTTTGGATTAAAACCAAGCCTCTCCCAAGTGACTGACTGGCCCCAAGTCTTGGTCTTCGGGTGAGAGGGAGCAGGATGGAGGGAAGGAGCAGGATGGAGGGATGGAGCAGGATGGAGGGGTGGAGCAGGATGGAGGGATGCTGTTTTCAGAGCAGGGAGGGAGACCAGGAGCACCACACAAGGTGTTGAAGTGGGATGCTGTGGACTGTGACTCGGATCTTTAGTCAGCACCAGGCATGTTGGGGGTTTGGGGTTTCCCTCCTTGGCTGCATCAGGGGGGAAGGCACAGGGAAGAGCTGAGGGGGGTCAGGAACCAGCACATGGAAATGGCTGGAAAAGCACGGAAAGGTTTAGGAAGCTCAGGGGAGAAGGCTCCAAGGCCTGTAGCATGGAAAAGCTGAAATGCCAGAGTCCTCAGCCCAGGGCCCCCTTGTGTCTCTCCCAGTGCTGCCTGCAGCACAGACAGGGATGCAGCAGGATCACACCACATGCAGCAACATTCCCTGTTTGTGGCAGGAGCATGGCTGCTGCTCCAAGGCACCCAAGCCTGGGGACAAACTGGCTCCAGCTGTAGGATTAACAGGATTTTAAAGCCCCTAATTGGAGAGATTGCTCCTGATGGGAGCGGCAGGGGATGGCTGGGAAGGATGCCCATGCCGGAAATCAGCGCTGCTGACTCGGCATGAGAGGGAGAGTCCCATCCATCGTGTGCCCGTGTGGCAGCCCTATCACCCCTCTTCTTCTGTCCCAAGAGTGGAGCAGAATAGAGAGAAAGCCCCAAATCAGAGACGAGGGGATAAACACAACCCCAGCAGTTGCAGCATGGGATTACACAGATTAAATCCTGCTGGGTAAACCCAGGGCTTCGACCATCACCCACCCCCAGCGCTGGACACCAGCACCTCCCAGACCTCCTGGATACAACACCGGGGCTCTGCAAGAGCATCCTTGGGGAATCAGTGTCCTCCCTTCATCAGGATGTGTATTTCCACCTGTGATTGCTCAGGGAGGAGCACTGTGCAGCCAGGCAAGCAGGAATCCAGCATCTCAGCATCCTAGTCTTGTAGGAGCACAGCCAGCTCCAATACAGCTGCCAGATCCCTCCATCCTTCCCAAAATCTGGAGATGCTTTAAGGGTCTTACCTGGTGGGTGTTTTCCCCACCTGGGCTCCTGAGGCTCCCATTTACCTGCTGGTCTTTGCAAGTTAACTCGAGATATACTTTGAAGTTATATGTGATTGTTTGATGTCAGGACCTGCCCCAGCTCCTGGGGGACCTCCAGGGAGTTTAGGCTGTCTTAGGGGGTTTGCTCACCCCAAAAAGGCCAGATCTCAGCTCTCCAGGCAGCCCAAGAGGCAGCAAAGGTGCAGCAGAGCTCCATGGAAGGAGAAACTGCAGGAGGTCTGCATGGCCATTGCAGCCCACAGCACTCAGCCCTGTTGAAATCTGGGAGTGTGCTCTCCCTGACACAGCTGGGGACAGGGACTCCTGCCAAACCTCCAAGCCATGGCAGGACAGGGAGGAGCTCCATCCCACACAGGACCCTGAACTGCGAACGCACCTGGATGCACCAGGAGCCCTGAGTATCACATCCCCTTGTGGCGCCTGCCCCCAGGGGAAACTGAGCTGGGGGCCTGGGCAGGAGGGAGCTGGGAGCAAAGCCAGGGCCTTGGGGGACTGCTGAGAGCACCCAGAACCTGCCCAGGGCTTGGTCCCCGGCCACAAATTCCCTGCAGAACAGGGGGGCTGGAGCTGGAGCTTTCAGCCCGATTAAGTCACATTCAGCACTCCCACATGAATAAATAAATCATGTAAGAAGCATTAAGGCAGCTTAGTCTCCCCAGGAAATCGCCCTGGAGTTCTGCCTTTTGGGGGGCTGAGGGATGCCCCCATGGACTGGGGGTGGGGATGGTTCAGCCATGCAGCACTGGCAAGGGGGAATAGGAGCTACAGGCAGGAGCATCCCGGGAGCATCCCTGCAAAGGGGTTTGCCCTGGACAGGCACATCCCCTGCCTGCCCCACGCCTGGATCTGCACAAGATGCACATTCCCAGCCTGTCCCTTTGGATTCCATGCTGACACAGCAGCATCCAGCTGCCACTGTGCCCTGAGCGGGTGCAGAGTGCCACGTCCCCAGCTGCCACCCAACCCAGCCTCACCAGGCAGAGCATCCCCCAGCCTGGCTGCACCCAGGGAACACTACTGATGAGCCTGGGTGCCCAATCCTGCCCTCAAAGAAGGGATTCTCCCAGAAATCCAGCTTGCATCCCATTCCCAATGGAGTCTGAGACACTGCAGGAAGCTCCTGGGTAAAAGAGCTCACAGAGAAGGAGGAAGAGGGTGGGACAGACCTACGGGATGCTCCCCAGTGCCCTGGGGAGAGACCCGCGCCTCCCGGTCCCACTTACCTGGTACATGCACATGCTGGGGTTAATCCCATTGGGCAGGTGAGCGCCTCTGGATGTGCTTCCCTTGTTCATGCCGAGCCCTCATGTCCGGGGGAGAGCACGGGGGACACTGGAGGCCACCGTGTCCGGGCGCGGAGCCCCCTGCCCGCGCAGGGACCGCGGGAGGCAGCAGAAACTCCGGGGAATTCCCCATGGGACCAGCCCCCGTCACATCCCGGGGCCGGAGGGGCCAGAGGCGGCCCCGGCCAGGCACGCAGCGGGTCGCGGGCACAGCGCTGCCAGCGCGTCCCGGAGCGCTGACCCAGATTGCTCCGAGCACACCCCGAGGCTCCCAGGGCCCGTCCCCGGAGCGGGAGCAGAGGCTAAATCCGCGCATCCCTTAATCCGGGATGCTGCGGTGGGGCGGGCAGAGCGTCAGGGTGACCCGGCTTGCTCTCTCCAGAGCGGGGAGCAGAGGGACTGAGCCCCCAGCACAGGGAGGTTGTGGTGAGACTGGATGCACCCAGCACCTGGGTACGTCTCAGCAACTCCCTCAGGAAGGTAGACTCATCCAGAGGGACTGCAGGAGCTCCTGGGAAGTGCTGTTGGGTGTTTTGCTCTCAGCATCTTGGGCAGAGCCAGGACCAGCCTAGCTCTGCGTATGGAGCAGCTGTTCCCAAGCTGCTTTCCTCCATTCAGATAAGGCAAGGATGCAGAAAGCTGGCCAGCCAACAGACCAAGCTCTGTCCTCGCTCATGCCACTAGTTTTGACCCATTTCCCATCTCTCCAAGGTGCTCCAAGCCCCAACACCCAGGCAAGGAGGATCTCAGTTTTCAGCACTGCAGAGTTAGAACAGATGCAAACATTTGAAGCCTCCTGCTTCCATTGGCTGGTGGGCGCCTCCCACACAATACCAAAAATGGAGCAGAGCAACAGCCCCCCAAAATCCCTGTTACCCCACGTCTGAGCCCCGGGACTGTGCTATTCCAAAGGATCCCACAGGGATGATGGGCAGCTCAGACTCATCCTGCACAGCCCTGTGACACTGGACTCATCCACCTCACCTCTTCTAGCCTGAATATCTTTGCGGAAATCAAGACCAGGACTCTGGAGTACCTGAAGACAGTCCTGCATGTGGATGAACCAGGAGCAGAGCACCAGCAGAAGCCCCAAGGCAAGCCCTGATTCCCCAAGCCCTGGGCTGCTCACTGAGCACAGACCTCTGGCAGCCTCGCTGTCCTCTGCTCCCTGAGATGTCCCAGTTCCCACCAGCTCTGTCTCCTCTCAGGACCAAGACTGAGATATAGAAGTCCCATTTCCACTGGGAATGGGGCTGATGGAAAGGAGCCCTCCTGGCGAGGGAAGGGACAGCAGTGGGGCTGCTCTGCACAGTGGGGAAGGAGAGTGATGAATGGTTATGTCCCAATCTAAAGTGCCAATGTGGGCTCAGCACTTTCTGACATCCCAAAAAGTTGATTGGAGGCAGAAAGCCAGATCTGCTGCTCAAAATGAGCTATCTGCTCCCCCAGGTTCATCCCCCAGTGGACTGACTGACCCCACAGGAAGCAAAGGCTCTGCATCTGCCTTGCTCTCACCCTGGGGTGTGCTTGGGGAGGTTTTGCCCCTTCTCCAAATCCATTCCCCTGTGGACAGCGGGATTGCACTCCTACCCATCCTCAAAGACCAGCAAGGGTATAGAGGAGAAGGGGACATGTCCCAGCTGGCTGTGGCTTGACCTGAGAGAACCTACAGGATTTACTGTTGACACGAGGTGCAACACTCGCGGCAGCATCACCACTGTCACACCAAGCCAACCCTCCGAGGGCCATGAGCTAAACCCCACATGCAATGCCCCTCGTGTGCCTCGGGGCAGGCTCTGCTCACGCCAGGGCAGGTCCTCACCTGCGGGAGTGCCGAGTTCAGCTGCCTCTGGAGCTGGTCCCGCTCCCGGAGCGTCTCCTGCAGGCGGCTCTGGGTGACAGCGAGCGTCTCGCGCGTCTCCCGCAGGGTGTCCAGCAGCTTGTCCCTCTCGTCCAGCATGTTCACCATCAGCTGCTCGAAGTCAGCGTCCGCCTCCGAGCCCTGTGGGGGGCCCAGCGGGTCCCCCTCGCTGATGGTGGGCATCACCTCGCACATCATGGCTGGGCTGGCTGGGGGAGGGTCCCGATGGGGCTGGGGGTGTACTGAGCACACGTCACATCACTGCGGGCTCCCGGGGCCAGGGGAGCCAGCACGGGAGGGGACAGTGGGGTGTTCAAGGAGGGGGACTCCCCATCCTGTCCTCCTGTGTGCTAAGCAGCAGCTGGCATCACTCCAGCAGGGTGCAGGGATGTCCTGGGCACCAACAGGGTCCTCGCAGTCACCAGTGCCCCGCTCACTGCTCGTCACTGCCGGCTCCCGCTGCCACCTCTCCTGGGTCCTGTGTGTCACCTCTCTGGAGTCCCGTGTGTCACCTCTCCTGGGTCCTGTGTGTCACCTCTCCTGGGTCCCGTGTGTCACCTCTCTGGAGTCTCGTGTGTCACCTCTCTGGAGTCCTGTGTGTCACCTCTCCTGAGTCCTGTGTGTCACCTCTCCTGGGTCCCGTGTGTCACCTCCCTGATGCCTTTCCAAGGGGCTGCAGCATCCGTGACCCACTGGCTGTTCAGAGGGGGACAAAACGATCCTTGAGGATTTGTCCCAATGGAGAGCCCAAGCCAGCACAGGGAGGGTCCAGGGAATGTTTGGGCTGCCTGGGCATGCTGAGGAGGGCTCTGGCGAGGATGGGCTGTTTTCCCTACAGCTGGATGACGTGTCACTGCTGACGTGGAAGCGTGTCTCTGTTGAGCATCACAGTTCTTCAAATACCCAGCAGTGACCTACGGCAGAGGGGACAGAGATCAGATCCTTCCTGCTGCTCCCAAAATGCCCAGAGACCTGCCCAGCCCCCTCTGCCTCCCAATCAAACCCTTGAGAGCTGCACCAGGCAGGCTCAGCACCCGCACGAATGGGCTGTGCCAGGTTGTAGCTCCTGCGCCCGCTACACCAAACCCAGGATGGCACCAAGCTGCAAGAAACAGCAACCCTGGCACCCAAAATCCTGCAACTGCCTTTGGCATTCACATCTCCTGGGCCAGGATACCATGCCCTCTGGGGAACTCCTGGCTACCCAGGGCCCCTGTGGCCCCACTGTTCCCCAGCCGCAGGGAATTTGCAGAAAATCAGGCTCCAGCCTGAGTTTAGCCCAAACCTGGCAGGAGGTCACAGCAACAAATGAGTTGAATGATTGGATTAATGTTCCCCCCTCCTCTAGACAGATGTGCTGGGCCCAGCTGTTCAGTGACAACTGCACTCCAGCACATCCTCCCTTGGTCAAACCTCTCTCAGGGGATGAAGGCAGCAGCATCCCCAAATTCCTGCCCAAACACAAGCACCATGGATGAGAGGCTGAGGGGAGAGGCAGAGCTGACATTTGGGCAATATATAGGCTGGATTAAAGCATGGCTGGACCTGAGAACCCAGCCCAGGGCTGATGCTGGAACCCATAGCCCCACCTTCCCTAAACCATCCCAGACAAGGTGCCAGGTGGGGATTCACAGTCCTGTGGGGGAACTTCAGCCCTCTGCAGCCAGGTGAGGGTCCCCAGCAGCAGGGGTGAGTGTGACACTGCCACCCCAGCCACCATGGGGACCTGCTCACCCCGGTCACCATCTGTGCCAGGGGACGAACCATGAGCAGGGCTCAAGTTGAGCAGCAAAACACAACACGGCAGGCCCAGGGTGAGGAGCGCTGGTCTAGAGCTGCTTCTGGGGCAGGCCCCGCTCCAGTTTTCAATTTTCCAGACAAGATGCTCAAGGATAGGTCTGAATATTCTGAGTCTGTGGATGCATCTGAGGCTGTGGCTGCCCCACCCCTGGAAGCGTCCAAGGCCAGGCTGGACGGGGCTTTGAGCAACCTGGGATAGTGGGAGGCATCCCTGCCCATGGCAGGGGGGGGACTGGATGAGCTTTAAGGTCCCTTCCAGCCCAAACCAGCTGTCATTCTGTGTCACTTCCCCTTCAAACTCTCCCCCCCCCCACATGGATAAAAAGCACCTGCACACAGGCCTGGGCCAGAGCAGCCTGTTCTGGCCCTTTGGGCTGGGATGAAAGCTCTCGTGTCCAACAGCTCAATGCACAGCAGGGACCTGCCCTGATAAAAGGTGACACTTGTGAGGAGGTGCCTTTGTCACACCAGCTACTGCCAGGGCAGGGGAATCAGAACTCTGCTCTTTGGATGACATTGGCTCATCAGCTGAGGGGAAGTTTGACACAAAAAGCTCTCTAAAAATAGAGAGGCTCTGGCAAAAGCAGCAGCCCCTCACTGTGCATCCTGTGTGATGCTGAGAGCCAGCTCTCAGGGGACATAGGACAGGGCTGTCCCACAGGTGGTGTCCTCCCCTCCCCTCACAGGTTGAATCCTCAAGTGGGATAAAACCTGTTGTGGACATGTAACACTTTCTTGAAGCTTGGAAGGTTGTTCACACTGTCCTGGCTGTTGGAATGTGGATGACCAGGGTAACTGTGGATTCATGGGATAACTGCAGAGGACATCCCATCCCAGTGGGATCCCACAAAAACAAGGCTGGTGGAGCAAAAGGCACAGAGGGAGGGACCATTCCAGCCCCTGCTCTCCTTGGGTTGAGTTGGACATGAGCCTCATCCCCGTAATTAAGCAGGGAAAATGCTTTCCAGTTCTACAGCCTCTAATGAACAGCCCCAGGGGTACCCACAGGCATGTGGCTCCCTGACAGCTTTCCTGGGGTTAAGAGGTCCAGACTCCAGGGAGACCAAGGGCCAAGAAGAGCAGAAACCAGTCCTACCCCAGGGCTAAGCTCTGTTAATTTGGGTGCAAAGCCTAAATGAGGTGACTTGCATGCCCTCTCCTCTGCCTGAGGGATGAGCATGGAGAAGGAACACCCAGGCTGGGCAAAGTCTGGCAGCTCCTGAGCACGACTTGAATGAGCCCCATAGGCATGGCCCCAGCCAGCTGCTGGTGGGGAACTGAGAGAAATTAGCAGATTAATTAAGATATATTAATCACGGCATGGAGGGAAGAGCCCTGAAAGCCCTCAGGGAAGGGAAATGCTGCAGGTAATGACCAAGACATAAATCTGACCAGTGATGATGGGATGGAAATTTATCCCAGCTGCAAAGGAGAGACACCCTTACCATGAGGAGACTCTGTAGATGCCAATTCCAGCAGGGCCACGGCAGATTCCCACACCCCCATGGGGCTGGACCCACACAGTGCAGGAAGAGGCACAGATTTACATCCAAGAGCTGATTTTCTTTCTGCTTCCCCCATGGTTGAGCTCCTGCACGGGTTGTTCTGGGGGGGTTTTGTTTCACTGCAAACCTGCTCCTGCCCACAGTCACATCCTGTTATTCCTGTGTGCTTGAGCAGGGAGATGGGGAGATGAGCACAGCCAGTCCCTCAGCCTGGGGAGGGTGATCACAGAATACAGGGATCTTACACAGCTGGTCCAGGATGGACTCATCCCATTCCACTGGTCCCCAAAAGCCTCTGTGCCCTGTCCCTGAGGATGCTCAGTGAAGCATCAAACTCTCCTGGACAAGGCAACGTTGGTGACCCAGAGCTCCCCTATGCCCAGGGTCTGGGGGTGTCTCCACTGAGGGAGGTCACATTCCCCCCTCGTCCTGGACCACCAAGGACACAAACAGAGGTGTAAGGCAGGAGCTGCTACAAACCCCTGCAGCTGGGGCAGCCCTATGAGCAGGGTGAGACTTCCCACCACCCCAAGAGCAGCCAAAGCCCCCCTGGCCTGGCCTGAAACCCCCAGGCAGTGGGGACAGCCAGCCCAGGGCTCCTGGAGCTCTCTGTGCCTCCCAGGATGATGTGGCACTCTGAGAATCCCTCTGCCAGAGGGTCCCTGGCAGGGAAATCCAGGGGGATGCTCTGCCACCTCCGAGTGTGGCTCTGGACACAATCCAGCCCCGTGTGCCCATCCTGGCTGGAACCATGGCAAAATCCAAGAGTGGAAAAATCCCTACACTGCAGCAGGACCGTCCACATCCGTGGACAGACACTGAGCTGCCTCCAGCATCCCCATCATGGATCCATTCCTCCAACAACCACAGGGACACTCCTACCCCACGGATTTGTGAGTGATCATTTCTGGATTCAACCACTGCAGCTTTCACAGCAACACCAGAGTCCCAGGAGTAGCCCAAGCTCTACAACACCCAGAGTCAGGGCAGATGCAAAGGGTTTATTTGGGACGGCATGTGAAGGAGCCAGGACCAGACTGGGTTTGATCCCTGCTGTCTTCAAGACCTGTGGAGCAGGAAGTGAGTTCAGTAAGCAACAGGCACAGGTGAGTGTGCAGGAATGTGCACACAGGGACAGGGATACAGCAACACCCATGGAGCCAGGGATGTGCACATGAGCAGGAATGGGCAGAAAGATCCTTTCCAGGGTCAACTCTCCTCATTTCTGTCCCACCTCAAACCTCGGGCTTTTCTCCATGCTCCAAAAGCAAGAGAACCTCACACATTCCCAGGCATCTCCCCCAGGAAGCCCAGCTGGAGGGGGCACACCCAGGCTCTGTCCCTACCCAGCAAAGCTCAGCAGTTCCAAGGCAAACCCACAGATGCCAGCGGTCACTTTGAAGGACCTTGGGGACATTAGTGTGGGTGACAGCCCAGACACCCTGCCACACTGCTGTGACTGCAGCAGCAGTGAGGGCACACCCAGAGCAGCTCTCTGTTGCTGGAGGTCAGAGGGGCCTGAGCTCGCTCCCAATTAGTGCCTGTAAATCTCAACCTTTCACAGGTCTCTGGGAGAACTCCCTAAATGCTCCTGCCTGGCTTTAGAGGGCCTTAAGTGCTGGGAAAATCATTGGGTAGAGCCTGCAAGGAGACAGCTGGGAGCTGAGCAAACACACACTGCACAGCTCCAGCCCTTGCTGGGTATTTTTAGTCCCGTGGGGCTGCCAGGCACAGGCTTGCTGGGAGCAGGTTTCTTGCCAGGGAAAACGTGTTCACTTTATTATCCCTTCCCCCTTCACCCCGAAATGATGATTTCCCCCCTTTTTGGGATGGAAAACAGCACCATCACATGTTGCCTGCTCAGAGAGGCCACTTCCTCATGAAGGTGCCCAGATGTGGAGCAGCTGATGGGGAGCAGAAGGGGTTTTTGCCCTGGAACTGGTGATTTGCTCAGCACAGCTCAGCAGTGAGTCAGGCTGCCTGTGGGATGCTGGGTCCCAGGGAGCACCCTGGCGTTCCCTTCCCAATGAGGGTGAGAAGCACCTACAGCTTTACCCACACACAGAGGATGGAGACAGCCTTGTGTTTCCTTTCTGAGCAGCTCCACTCCCATCCCAGCCCTGACAAGAGGAAAAGCCTCAGTGGCTCTGTCAGCAGGACCATCGCCCAGCAGGCAGCTGGCAAAGAGGCTTTAACACACTCCTTGGAGGCAACAAGCTCTCAGAGACTGATCATCCCATAAAAATGTCATTCTGATCTTTTCTGCTCCTGGAAAATCCTCCTCAGCTGCCCAACTTGGCCTTGGAAGCACAGAGCTGGGGTGGCAGAGCCCACAGCAGCACCCCTCACTCCCAGCTCCCTGGCACAGGAACAGCCTCCCCTCTGCCCAACCAGCCAAACTCGGGGTCCAGCACCTACACTGACCTCCCACACTGACCCCTCTCTGCCAGATCCAGGAGGGACCAGAGTCTGATGCCCTTTTGCTGTTAGTTTTGCCTTTCAGGAACTTGTGACCCCAGGACAGGCTGCAAGTGTTGCATCCTGGTATTCCCAGCAAGCTCATCCCAAACACTGCCCCTGCAGACAGAGCCACATCCCAGCACAAGTCCTGCCACCCTCACTGAAGTCAGACACCACTTGGAAGCAGCCAGGACATGCTGAGCCACCAACCCACCCTTGCCTACCCCAGGGAAGGTCAGTAGTGACCCTCTGAGCAGTGGGATGGCAGAGTAGGAACATCCTCACCATCTCTACCAAGCCACAGAGCCCCTTTCTCCTACCCCCAGTGAGAGATGTGGTAGTTAGAGGCTGGGAAAAGATACGGCCTCATTCCAGCTTTTCTCCCAGGTCCCCTCATTTAGTCCCAGGATACATTGTGGCCTCTTGGGACCTCCAGTCCCCTGAGAAGGACAAGGAAGATCCAGTTTTCCATGGGGCCCATATGGTAACAGTGCTCCCAAATTCCCTAACGCAGCCCCACCGGCAGGGAGCTGCACAGATGGTCCCTGGCTGGTGCCAGGGGCTGCCCGTGGCCAGGACACCCAGGGATAACAAGGGAAATGAGGCATTCTGGCTGGAAATAAGGTGCCATTTTTCAGCAGCAGAGGATTGGACTCCCGTTCCAAAAGGTGAGATGGATTTACTGAGATCGGGCTGGGAATGTGGTGGAGACCTGAGGAAAGACCCGGCAGTGCCTCCTCTCTCATCCAGGTCTGGGAGGTCTCCTGGGGTCCCCACACCTGCAGCAGTGTGTCCTTTGCCCCCAGTGTGACAATGTCCAACTTGTCCCTTGTTGGAGACGCAGCAGTGGCAGAACAGGACATTCAGGCAGTGTCTCCAGGGTTTGGAGCTGTCTCAGGTGTTGGGAAGCCCTGGGTGCCCCTAAAGGGTGGGAACAGGGGACATTGCAAGCAATAAAAGGCAGCTACTCCCAATATCTTACCTTAAAGGACACACTTCTGCCCCAAAGACTTGCTCCAAACCCATGAAGCAGTTCCCACCTGAACCATTGCTCACTCAAGTTGCTAAACCAGAGGAGAATCTGCAAGGAAAAATGTCCAGATCTGACAGTTTCTTTGCAGGGAGCAGTAAATGCTAGCATTGCACTGGTATTTATACTTCCCAGTGGGAGGGGAGGCATTACACACCACTTCCAGAGGGTATTTTCAGACAGCCACCTGCTCCTCTTTGTGCAGAGACACAATTGTTCCTCAGCAAAACCTCGTCAGACAAGGAGCCAAAATCTGCGCTGGGCCCTGGGGGGAGGAGGGAGCTGAACCCCCAGGGCTGGCACCCAAACACGGTCACACAGACACCTACAGGAATCTACAGGACTTTGTCACCTTGGGACGTGCTGTGAGGGTCGTGGCCGGGGTCCTGACTCAGTTTCCCTGTTTCCAAAGTGGGCCACGTGTCCCTGACCCCAGAGAAAGGCAGGATCTCAGGGTATTCCAAGCAGGACCACAGGTCTGAGGCTGCTGAAGCCCTGAGGATCCCAGGGGAACGTGTGGAAGCACAGGGAGTGTTCTGGGGGAGCACGAGACTGTGGTGCTGGAACGCAAGCTGGATTTCACTCTTTGGCACAGCTGCCCCAGTTGGCATGAGGGGTTCACCTGAACCAGCAAAACCAAAAACCAAACCCTCAAATCCTGTAATCACATCCCACTGCAGTTGCCTGCACCCAGCAGCATCACTGAAAGACAGGGCTGTGGAAATCCTGGAGAAATTCCAATTCCTTTGGTGCACAAGAGGTTGGAAAACCACCATGTGCCCTGCAAGGAAGGAGATGGATGCACCTGATCCATGAGAGCAAGCTCACATCCCTCTTCCAGGATGTGGTCTGCACTCAGATCCATCCACAGGGACAAGGAGGGGTTTCAGCAGCCACCAAACCAACACAAAAAACCCCACAATTCCGGTTACAACCATTTCCTTTCCCAGTTGCTGCTCTGCTGTGTCACATGGCTCATCCATCCTTCTGTTCCATAACTTTGCAACCAAAGCCCCTGTCCTTTGCTCTGTTAGGCTGAAGACACAGAATCCCAGAATAGCTGGGGTTGGAAGGGACCTCTGAAGACCATCTAGTCCAAGCCCTCTCAAGGCAGGGTCATACCCCAAGCAGGTGCCACAGGGACACATGCAGGAGAGTTTGGAATGCCTCCAGGGAGGGAGACTCCATGCCCACCCCAGGCAGCTGTCCTGGTGCTCTGCCCTCCTCCATGGAAAGAAGTCCTTCCTCGTGTTGAGGTGTTGAGAGTCTTTGATTTCTCTCTCAAGGAAGGTTACTTTAAAAAGCAGCAGAAGGAAATGCATTCCCTACAGAAGCAGCACACTGAGGTGAACCAGCCCCTGGGTGACTCTGCCGGGGAACACAGCACTGGGATCCCTCCCAGCAATCGGGCTGGTTTCCAGCCCAAGGTGATGCAGACTCTTCTGACAGAGAACAAGGCACAGGGAGGTGATCCACAACCATTGAGGGAAAACCCTGCGCTCGTCACAGAGGGAGCATCACTGCGAAGTCCCCTTACCTTTGGGAAAGTGAGGCTTTGTGCTCAGCCTCCCCACGAGCAGGGCACCGCCTCAATCCTTGCTGAGACACAGAGGCATGGCTGGTGATTTTCCATGATTTCACTATAGGTTTTGCCACGGGTACATCCCTCCCGCCCCCATGACACTTCTGCTGAGGAGTTATCTCATCTGGGAGCCGGCCGGGCTGGAGCCGGGGGCCTCCCCCTCGCCGCCGCACCAGCGCCTGCCCTGCTTTAGTCACACCCCGTGAGCTCTGCCGTGCTAATTTATTCAGCGACGAGGGAGGAGTCACATCTCCAAGGGAGACTGAGGAAATCTGTGCCAGGGGTGCACAGAGCCCTGCCAAGTGCTGGAGAGGTGCCTCTCCACTCACCCAGGCCTGGCACCACAGCCAGCCCGTGCCCAGCCCAGGGCACAGGGGAGGTGCCGCTTGTAGAGAAAGCCCGGGGCAAACCGTTTCCACATGCACCTGAGGAGCTTCCATGCCTGGTATGCCCAAGATCCAGGGTTTCCCCCGCACCACCCATCCCACTGGAATCTCTTCCACACCTTCGGCAGGCCCTCCCTGCCACGAGCCTCAGCACTGATAACCAGTCCCGCACATCAGCTGCGTATCTGCCCAATTCCCAGTGTAAAATTCAGGCACCAACTCCGTGACTGGTGCAAAGGGGAAGGGGCTCAGTGAGCTCCCTGAGGCCCACAGTGAAATCCCACTCCTTGCCCCGCTCCAGCAGGTCTCCAGCATTCTGCCACCACAGAATCATGGAATGGTTTGCCTTGGAAAGGACCCTGAAAGCTCAACCAGTTCCACCCCTGCTATGGGCAGGGTCACCATCCACAAGGCCAGCATGCTCCAAGCCCTGGCCAACCACCCCTCACCAGACTCTAAATTATGGGTGGGGTTGAGGAAGAGCCCATGGAGGGAGTTTGGAGGCAGGGAAGAGGCAGATGGGACTTTCAGTGAAATTTGGGAAGTGTTAGAGGGTGTTCAGAGCCACAGTGGACAGAGCAGGGATGTGTCCAGTGCTGCTGGTCTCAGGTTGGACCGCAGCAGGCTCAGGAACATATCCCTGCATCACACTTTGGGGTTTTGCAGGCACCACAACCTGCAAAGGAAGAAGCAATGGTCCTGGAGCACAACCCTGGCCCCAGGGAAGCCTCCAGAGCTCAGCAATTCACCACCAACCACCCCAGCACACAAACAGAGACAACAGCAACAAGACTGTGCCCCAAGTTCCCCTTGTGCTCCCCATGCCACCTGCAGACAATCCAGGCAGGGCTCCCCTTTCCTCCATCCTCCCAAAGCACAGAAGGTTTTAGTCCATGCTGTTCCAAAGAGTGGTGGCATCATGGCTTGGGCATTGGATGACCCAGAGGTGACTGGGATGGTTTCAATAACTCCCACATTAGGGGGTAAGGAAGATTCCCCCTTGTTTTCATATCTTCTGTTGCCCCTTGCCTGTGCTAAGGGACTTTAGCAATTATTTAATTCCTTTGCTGATAGCACAGCTAGTTCCTAAAGAACTTTTGCCCAGATGCAGTGGTGGGCAGTGGGACATCGGTGGGATTCTTAATTCTGGACACTCAGGCTTTGAGGATGAGCAGATCCAGCACCAGGACAGCTCTGTAACATTTGGCAAAGAAATCTCACAGGATTTACCACAACCATCTCCTCCCCTACTGCGACATGTGGGTGCTCAGCTCCATGGAAGACAAGGCAGGACCATGGGGTTAAATAAATCCCTGCCTGACTGAAACCTGCTCTTCCTCCCAAGCACCCTTACACCATGGATAACCACAGCCCTCCCTTGCCAAGCCAGGCTCCTTTGGAACCTTGGCTATCCCCCACTGATTTGGAATGGGTGGATGAATCCCAGCAAGGGATGAGCAGGCAGAGATGGAGATAACCAGCCCCAGTCCAGGCTGGAATGGCCCCGGTGCCGTTGCCCCGGTGCCCGTGCCAGGAGGGCCAGGGCGGTGTCAGCCCTGGCAGCCACAGGACCTGGCAGGAGCAGCTGTGTGGGGACAGCTGAGGACAGCGACCTTACAGGGTGGCTCAGGCACTGGAGCCCTGTCTGCTCTGTCTAAATCCACATCAAGCAGAGTCACATCTTCAACCCACACCCTTCAGGGGCAAAGTGAGCCCCTAGAATGAGCCCCAGCCAAAGCCCACCTGGCACACCTGGCACAGCCAGTACACCTGGCACAGCCAAAGCCACAGTGCTGCAGAAAGGACTCATCCTACTCCTGTCTGGCATTTGAAGCCTTGTTTCATGCAAGAAGGTCTTTCCAGGGGAGTCTCTGCCCTGCACATCCCAACTCCTGACACAGGGGAGGATGTGCCCACTCATGGCACCAACAAGGCGGAGGGCCTGGAGATGCTATGCTTTAGAAGGAAAATTCAAGTTGTTCCTCCTTAGGAGAATTGTAGGATTAGCTCAGCCCTTATTAAGCATCAGAAGAACCACAAAAAGCACCTCAAAAATAGCCTGCTAAGGAAAAACTCCATCTGGAGCTCATTCCTCCTGGATGTAGGCCACAAGGAAGATATAAGGGATATAAAAGTTCAGATCCCTCCAGAAATCCCAAGTACTGGAAAAGATCAGGAAGAATAAATCAAGGTTTCCTTTAATATGAAGAGCTGAGTTGGATCCAGCAGGGAGCTCTAAGCAGAGCCCCTGAGGGCTTCACCCAGCATGGAATGAGCAGAGGAAGGGACCACAGGAAACACCATGTCCCACCACTGGTCCCTTCATTTGGGGATTGGAGAAAACAGAGAAAAGGAAGGGTGTTGCTTCCCTTCCAATCGAGGGAAGCAACACCAAATTGCTCCAGAAAGTGTGGGGAGTGTGGTGGTTTGCAGAGGGATGGCAGCCCTCCCCCATGGCAGCAGAGCTCTCATCTGGGCATGTATCATCTCAAAATCCAGGACCAGGTACTAATTCCGCTCAACTTCTAACTTGCTCCCTCTCAAAATGTCAGCTCCATGGAGCCCATCCAATGCAGTGTCCTCAGTGTCCCCAGGGACTGCCCTGCCTGGCACAGGAGCCCCAGGAGCTCTGTCCTTGTCCTCACTGTGCTACCCACAGGCTCCCATGGCCATCCCAGCTCACTCAAAGAAGAGCCCCAACCATGGCATCATTGAGCCTGACCCCTGCTTCCACCCATCACCCCCAAATGGCACCCAAAAAACACTGAATTCATTTCACTGTTTGGCCCAAAGCCTCTGGGAACACCATTCTGCCACCCTCAGTACTTTGGGGGCTCCTGCATACACTGAGTTCACAGGATCCCAGACTGGTTTGGGTTGGAAGGGACATTTAAGCCCATCCTGTTCTACCCCCTGCCAAGGGACACCTTCCACTATCCCAGGCTGCTCCAATCCCTGTCCAACCCAGCACCAGGAACCACCCTGAACCACCTCAGGATGTTAGGGCAGGATTTGGCCAGTCCATGAGACATCACCAGGAGAGAAGGACACATCTGCAGCT